GAAAAACCTATTTATTTTTTATCTCATAAATTGTCTGATACACAGTCTAGATGGTCTACTATCGAAAAAGAAGCATTTAGCATTCATTATGCATTACAGAAATTAGATCATTATCTTCATGGGGCTGAATTAATAATCAGAACTGACCACAAACCTTTAAAGTACCTTTTGCTCTCGCCACAATGTAACAAGAAATTACAGCTTTGGGCTTTAGGTATTGCAAGTTATAATTGCAAGATTGAATGGCTTGCGGGCACTGATAACACTATTGCTGACTATCTTTCAAGAAGAACTCCGGGTCAAGAAAACAATCAATACCAAAATGAAACAATTGAAGTAGATATAAGTGACAAGGCTTTTCAGATCAATACTTTGAACTCAAATCAGTTCAATCCAAAAGATTTTGCAAGTTGTGACTATAAGGAAGATGACCAATTAAGCGTTAAGGAATGCACGATTCCTGGTTATGACATGAAAATTGAACAATCTTTAGACATAGAACTTTCGGAAATTATTAATCAAATTAACACAGGTAGAGCTTCAAGGAGTGTTGATAATAAACATATTATTATCAATGATATACTTTATTACATTTCTACCCCGATGATGATTTAAAATTAAGGCTTTACATTCCATTACAATTAAGAAATGAGGTCATTAAAAGTTATCATGACAACCTAAGTCATTTAGGCATCGACAAATGTCACGATTCAATTAGGCAAAAATATTTTTGGCCAAAGTTATATAAAGAACTAAATTCATATATTAATTCCTGTGTTATCTGTCAATCTCAAAGTGCAGGTAAAACAAAACCTTTATTACAAATATCTGATGTACCACCATTTCCATTTGCTAAGATAGGGGTAGATCTATCTGGACCTTATCCTACATCATTGTCAGGAAATAAGTATATTGCTAGCTTTGTTTGTCATTACAGCGGGTGGCCTTTGGCTTTTCCTGTTCCAAATAAAACTTTGGAAAATGTTGTTCATTTATTAATTGAAGAAATAATTCCAAACTTTTCTGTGCCTTTGGTTATAGTGTCAGACAATGGCGGCGAATTCACCTCCAAAATATTTGAAGAAACTTTAAAAGAATTGAATATAAGTCACATAACAACTTCTTTTTATCATCCACAGGGAAACGCGAAAGTAGAAAGATTTCACAGGACGCTTCATGACGTCATGGCAAAGAAATTGCAAAGTGACGCGTCTACTTGGGACGTATGCTTAAATCAAACAATAGCAGCTATTAGGTTTCAAAAAAATGAATCAACAAAATTTTCTCCATTTTTTCTTTTATACAATAGAGATCCTGTTCTTCCAATTGATAATCTGTTAAAACCTAGAAGGAAATATGTAGGTGAAGATCCGCACAAGATTTTGTTAGAACAACAACATAAATCTTTCGTTTTAGTTCATAGAAATTTGAAGAAATCTAAAGAAAAACAAAAACAAAACGCAGATAAAAATAGACAAGAAATAAATTTAGAAATTGGTGATCCAGTATATTACAAAAATCATTTAAGAAAAAGTAAATTAGACACTAAGTGGAAACCTTATTACAGAATAATTGAGAAAACTTCTCCGGTAACTTTTGTCCTTAAAAACCAATTAGATGGGTCTGTCGCTAGAAAAGTCCATTTAGAACACCTTAAAAAAGCTAAGATTGATGAATGGGTTATTCCAACAAATATAGAAGGTAGGCAATTAAGGAAAACAAATTATGTTGTACCTCCCGAGGACAGTGACGGTAGTGAAAGTGAACTTCCGGACGCTAATCCTCGAGAAAGACTCATAAATCGTTACCGACAAGAACGAGAAACATCGTCCGACGAGGACAATATTCCGCTCGCTGAATTAAAACAGAAAATAGCAAACAGAAACCGACGCGAAAAGGAGGATGAAAATTCTTCCGTTACTTCCGGTTCCGGTTATAGAATGTCAGATAATAATAGTTCCGATGGGTATAATTCAGAAAGTAGTCAAAAAATGTCTGTTGATGAAATTAGAATACCAAAGAAAACTAAACGAATTGTTAAAAAGTCTGCAAAGAAAGACGAATTAATTTTAAGTTTTCTCTCAAACATTTCTTGTTATCTTAATAAAATGCACGACTAACACGACGTAGACGTAGGCTTCGTGATGATTGTTTTTAAATAAATATATGTGTATATAAAATAATTTTGTTTTGATTAATCATTCTAATTCTCGCTTCAGATGGATCGCTGAAAAAATGTTGATTGTTTAGAAATCCTATTAATATCAGTAATCTCTGAATCACAGCTTTGTTTATGAAAAAGGAAGGAAAGTGTTGGTTGAATATCAAATCTTATTCAAACCATTTTCAGTCCTTCCGAGAGAAAAAAATATTTTTTATTTTTTTTCCATAAAACTTTAGAGGTTTTTTTTTTTGTTCTTATTTAAAATAGATAACACATTGATAATTTCATTTGCCAAATTAAAGCAGTAAGAACTTATTGAGGATGACTTTGAACTATCAAATTTATTAAATGCATTAATTTATGTTTTGTTGCTTTTAAAAACTATAGGGATTATGTTATATTTATTTTGTAAATATCGTCAAAATATTAAGAATAGGTGTTTAGCCAAGAGAATGAATAATAATAAAGAGGTTCAAATAGTCACAAGATACCTTGGTGGCGATCAAGTGGTGTCAACTAATGTTGAGGGCGATGGTACTGCCTCCAGAGATGTTAAAATAGCTTCTGCACCACTATTAGAACCAGCCACTAAGAACCATTATCCAGTACTCAACTTGTCAAACAATGAGTAGTAGCAATCAAGTTAACTGACCACAAGAATGATGATTGGAAAAGAACACTGGATATTGGCTTCGATTTTTGGACACAACGCAGACGTTTAGATGTAAATAAAACTATACGATCACATAACTTTATATTGGTAGAGGGAATCGTTCTACAACATCACAGGTAGATTTGCCTGAATTGTTTCAGCCGGTGATAACTGAGCAACCTAGTCAGGGACCCTGAATCAACAGGGTAGGTAAGCTAGGTCAGTTAGGAGTAATATCAACGACTAATGGTGGATCACGTGGAGGTCGGAGTATATCAACGACTGATGGTGGATCACATGGAGGTCGGAGTATATCAACGACTGATGGTGGATCACATGGAGGTCGGAGTATATCAACGACTAAGGGTGGATCATATGGAAGTCGGAGTTATCAACGACTGATGGTGGATCACATGGAGGTCGGAGTTATCAACGACCGATGGTTGATCACGTGGAGGTCGGAGTTATCAACGATAGTCGGGGTAGTTGCAGTACTTCTGAATGACGGGAATTGGCGTTGCAGATAAACAAACGGATTGTTGGAGTTGACAACGACGATCGGAGGAGAAGTTCACCGGAGTCTGGGTTATGAAGACAGTCCGCAGTTGATAGTTGCGCCTTTTTCTAGAATTAAGAAGTTCCGATATTTGATGTTACGAGGAGTGTTATGATAGAACTATAACAACTTAGTTATTCACACAAGAATTGTATGAACTATACATTGCTGGACATTTAGATGTTGTTGAACTTTTGAAATGATTTTGTTTTTTTTTGTGGAATTTGTAAGCATTCATATTGTCACCGATTTAAACTAAAATATAAAATTATATTTCTTAAGAAAGAGAGGAATGTGACAATATGATGGGCTTAAAATATATATATATATTTATATATATATATATTTATATTTATATTTATGATTATATATTCTCAAAATGTTTATTAAATTGAATAAAATAAATACAGGGGAATATCTATTAAGAAAATCATGACCTTGGGAAAGGTTGTTTTAATTGACCACTACGTTGCATATAACTTTAAAAACATGTTTACATGCAAACCAGATGGTGACATGTTGTAATAACAATTAGTTAAAAGACTGGACATACGTGTATTCTACAACTATCAATTTCCAGCTTGGTCAAAACATGTCAATTAGAGTCAACTTAATAGATATTCATCCATGTACCTTTAGAATTAAAACTATTATTGTCAAATTAATAGAAACTTTGACAAACTGTTATATTCTGTATATATACCTATGTATTTACTGTATGGGGCACATTGGCTCATTTGGCGTAAATAAATAAACTGTTAACTAACTATCTTGTTGTGTTACAAGTTATGCAAACTCAGCGACTCATTTCACAAAAAATCTGAACAGAAAAAATACTCATAAGTCATGAACAGTTTAGTATAATGTATGATCAATTTTTATTGTAAGATTTTTGTGAAAAGAGCCCCAAGCCCCCCTCCCCTCCCTAAATCCGCTTATGCATTCAACTTAAAAAAAGTTTCAAAGTCATTAGAACCAGCTGACAGATCAGGGCCAAACAGTCTCCATAGAAATTAGATGTGTCAAGGCTAATACAACTGAATACCAAATATCATTGACCTACCACTAGTGGTTCCCTATAAACTGACCTAATCACAAACTAATACATGTTAACTTAGCAAAAGTTTCAAAGTTAATAGAGCATGACTGAGGGGGCAGGGCCAAATAATCACCATGGAAATGAGACGTCCCAATGCTTATATAAATGCATAACAAATATCATTGACCTACAAATGTACCACTAGTGGTTCCCCATAATCATAATGATGATTATCTGACCTAATCACAAACTAATACATGTAAACCGCCTCTGACACCGCCTCCAGAAACAGCATACCTATGTCTCAGTTTTTACCTCCATCAAGGCAAGACAAAAAAATGGGCTAGAATTGGACATGTTTGAGCGCTAACTGTTGAAGACCAGAGGGACACCTGGTATTTCTATGTCCCCTGTCCTTCCAACACAAGAAAAAACAAAGTTGAAACAATATAATCACTTAAAAGTTTTCATTAAAAAACCTATATGAATGGCATTCTATGAATATGACATAATATAATTTTTATTTTTGTCATTTTGTGAATCAAGATGACTGCCTGGATTATGCAACTCATTCAAATTCAAATTTTACCTGTTCATAATAAAATAATCCAAGCTGGAAATAAGCTTTTTTGTCTCCATTTTTTATTCTCTCCAACAGAATAGTTTCAACTTTCTCCATAAGTTCTTCTTCAGTAAGGTTTCCATAGCCAGGTTTGTCCTTAGTTTCCTGAGCAATGTCATTCAGGATACTCTTTTCCTTTGTGAATGGCACCTTCTCCGCAGACAAAGTTCCCTTCATATCCATCTGTAAAAAAAGGAAGGTAAATGGATTATACATTTGTACATTTGTGTAGATGTCTGAGGATTGAAGTTTTCTGTCATTGGGTTACTGTCTCATTGACGTATATACATGTATACCACATGCACACCACTTTCATTCAGACATTTATAAATATGTATAAGCCCCTGCTTTAAAAACAATTTTTAAATGAAAAACCTTTCATTTTCCTAAATTTTGTAAGGCAGTTCAAAATATATATTTTCAGATGAACCAGTGAGGCCCTTTTTACATTCAAATATATACTATTTTACATCACTCAGTAAAAACAACACTTGAATTTTAAACTCCCAACATGCATTTTTTTTCATTTAACATGTTCAATGTCAACAATTCTAAAGATTTGATCTTGACTTTCATATCAAAATAAGAAGAAACATGCTAGCATGGTTGCCAATGATACACTATCCCTTGATGAAAAGGACAAAAATGTGATTACAAATGTACATGTCACTGTTTCATTTTAAAGCTGATTTTCTACTTCTATTAGTATGACAGCAAAAAGCATTTAACATGAAAATTATTCAAACGGTTTTAAATGATTCAAACTGTTTTATGGTCGAACAAATAAGTTTCCAAATTGTAAAAAATAAACTTAACAACAAAATGAAACATTAAAAATATATAAATGTTACCTGTAAACAGTACAATTTAATATTGTATCCAAGTGGAGATAGAGATAATCTTTTTTTTTAAACTAATAGTTACAGAAGTTCCTTTTAAATATTTAATATGGTAACATACATATATAAATTACATTAGATGTCATTTTAGTCAGGATTTAAGTCAATAAATCACATCGATTTTAATGCATAAATTTTCTTTTCGAAGTATTTATGTCAAGTGTAGCAACATTGCCATTTAAATCTAATTTTATGATATGGAGTTATAATGAAATTTAAAGTTAAAGTTACATTGTACTTTATTGGAATTAACTATATCTTTTGAATTTAAAAAATCAAATATTTACACATAGCAATTAACTCTGGTGGGTTAGAAAGCCTCAATTTAATTATCAAATGGGTTTTTAATATCTTAGAATGAATTTCTTTTTCAAAATAATTGTTTAGGAAGTTCTTATTAAATAAAATAATATTGAACAGCCGTTGTCGGTTAAAGATTTTTCCATGCAAAGTTTGATGTCTGTTGACGTGCTACAATGTACATAAATGAGGCATGTACTAAAAGGTTGAGTGGAGTGGAGTGGAGTATTGGAGTGGAGTGGTGGAGTGTTGGAGTGTTGGAGTATTGGAGTGGTTGATTGTTGTAGTGGAGTCATGGAGTGAAATACTTAACGAATCCACAAATCAATCACACTTTGTATCAAATGAAATTTTTAACGAATTCAAATGAAAATCTCAAATTAAAATCATTTATAATTGTTTTTTTTTTTCTTCTTTTTTCTTTAATTGCAACACACAATGATTTTATATTATTTCATTTTTCATATTTGATTATTCATCAAAGTCGGATAATGTTTTGGGTAGCATTTTATGACAGCTTACATGTAGTTGGAGGTTTGATAATATTGTCCATCTAGTAATTTTTTTGGCTATTCTGAATTGTAGTGTATTTCTTATTAGTAGGGAAAAAGAAAAGCAAAGGCCCAGTAGCCTATGCTACTAGAGTTAATTTTTTGACAAGCTCACAAAACTTATATCATAATGCACATAGTGCTTATGTTAATTTTCACATTGTGGCAGGTTTAGCCCTAGTTAAAAAATGTATAATGTCTTATTCCCGGCAAAATATGTCAGAATCAAGCAGAGGCTGAAAAATCATCTTGTCGTAAAGATATTAAATTATTATTATTTTTGTTAACAATGGACTATGATATACTAGTAATAAAATTTTGTTATAATAAAACACCAATGCAACCACGCATCCCAAGATTATCCCCCGAATCTGATGTGAAGGCCAAGATTCTTAAATATTGAAAAGTAGAAAAAATCATTAATGGATCATTGAATAAAAATATATCATTTATTTCAAACATAGAAAGTTTTGATTCTTGATTTAATAAAAGAACAGAATTCCAATGCCACCTGCGTTGCACACATTTTATATTTCATATATTTATATGGTAAACGGACAGAAAGTCACAGGACAAAATGTCACAGGACAAAAAGTCACAGGACAGAAATTCACAAAATTGATAGGACAAAAAGTCCCAGGACAAAAAGACACAAATAGTTTGTTGACAATTATTTGAATATATAAGAGAAAGATCTTCAAATATATTCTTTTTATTTTATATATTCATTTTACAGAGAAGGAAATTGTTCATTAGCTGTGATAAATGAAAAATTATTAAATTTTAAACATGCAAAGGATAAATTTCTTGGCACCATGAAGCCATTTGAGTACCAAGCCACTTTGAAAAAAATTTTCTTAACAATTATTTGATACTTATTGAAATTTATTAAAAAAAAATTAATGACAAAGTTGTCTTATATATAATAGTTCCAAGAAAAAAACAAAAATGATTTTATAAAAATAAGTGTTTTCTAATTTAAAGAAAAATAACCCAAAAACTGAATAGTGACTTTTTGTCCTTTGACTTTTTGTCCGTGACTTTTTGTCCTCTGACTTTCTGTCCTGTGACTTTCTGTCCTACATTCATTTATATAAGGGCATAACTCTTTTAAAAAAAGGCGATCGTCCACCATTATAAAATGTGTCCGAGATATTACAGATATTAACCTATAGTATAAGTTTTATAAAAATCTGGCAAGAATTGTACCCGTTAGACGCTAACAAGACCAGACGGACACACAGACGGACGGACGTTCGGACGCCCTGTATTTCCATGCCCCTCGCAACGTGTTACGCGGAGGACAAAATAACTTAAATGAATGATATATTGATCTCCATAGATACATAGATCTTTTACCAACTAATCAAATTCATACCTTTTTCAAATGAAACATACAAAATCCAAGTGTCTTTTTTCTTTCAAAAGACTGTTCTGTTGATGCTGTTGTTTTGTATATACTTGAAGTTTAAAACTTTAACTTTGCCTAGCATGTAAAATTGTTTACACCAGAATGTTGTTAATTAAGGTAAAATTGCTGAAAGACCCCTCCTAAATTATAGAAATCTATCATTTAACATTAATCATAATATTTTGTGGTGTAAATTAGATATACCTACTCGGGCTAAGGCCCAAATGGTGCATCTTACACATTTCAGGACATCTTTAAATATGTGTGACTGCATGTTTGGAGATATAACCTTAAATAATACCCATGACACATCCAAGATGAATTATATTGGTATAATTCACATGAATGCAGTTGGATGCTGTTGAGACCAAACATTCATTCTATGATTTTTATAGCTACACATGTATAAAAAAATTATCTTATAAATTGGTTTAATTTCAAAACTATTGACCCCACAACTCAACTACACTCCATTTCCTAACTCCATGTTTTTACTCCATGACTCCACTCCAACACTCCACCACTCCACTCCACTCAACCTTTTAGTACATGCCCATAAATGATCAAACATGATGAAATATACGTTTTATTATCAACTTCCTTTTGCAGGAGTTCTGACAGACAAAATAAAATAAATGAGAATCATTAATTGGTAACAACCTCAATTTAATGTGATTTCTTTGTTTTATTCTCACTGCATTGTGCTCTAACATGTCTTTGGCCAAGTTAAGTGCAAATAGGATAAACTGACAATTTAAGCCAAAATATTTTTCAAATTCATCTTTGACAAGCTATTAATTTATGTTCCTAAATGAACTTAATGACCCTCATCAATTTAGACATGCAGGATAATTGCATGTATGTGCTGAGCAATAAAGTGCTTGGAATTTAGATCACATTGCATAATTAAATGATGATGTCATAATAGTTCGCTGATATCAGTGAATCCTCATATTTCCAGGTCCTAAATGATTGGAAACTCATATAAAACAACTATAAAAACTATAAAATCTATGATAATATGGCAAAATCCTTTGAATTCATTTTCCCAAAACAAATGTTTATTAAACCTGATGATGTCTTAAAATGAAGGATATATCATAGAAAATTTTAATTTGAGTTTCATTCATGAAGAAAAAAAGAAAAGCAAAAAAGTCTCAAATTTCCCTCTTTAATGATCATGATTGGGAATCTTATGGGTTTGAGTATTTTGACAGTTTTTTGTTAAAAGCCAGCTGAAGCCCCCTCAGGGTGCAGGATTTCCTCACTGTGTTGAATACCAACTGGTGGCCTTGGGTTGTTTTCTGCTCTTTTGTTGGGTTGTTGTCTCTTTGACACAATCCCTGTTTCCATTCTCTATTCTATTTGTTGAAAATTGTGAATTTTTACTGACATTGTAAAGCATAGATTAATTCTTATTTTTAATCAACCTTTCTATGATTTTTTGTCCATAGAAAACACCCCTGATATTATAAACTCAAAGCCTATGAAAGGATATAAGAAATGATAAAATAATTGTTCTCCTTACTATTGGACATCCTTGCTTACATTTTCAGTGGGGTTTAGCTTTGCATATTTCTTGGACTAAAACTTTACTATGCTAACATGGATGGATGCCCCACATGTTAAATGTTTTTTCTATTCTAAATGTATACATGTACATGTATATAAAACAGTAACTATTCTATAACAGTAACAAACATTTTTTGTTGGCTTAGCACAAAATTATTTCATTAAATTGATTAATAGCTTCTCTGGACAGATATTAATTTTGCATTTAAAAAAGTAAGTCATGTGCATAAAATATTTATGAAACTTATTTTTGAAAGGTTTTCACCAAAAATAACACTGTAACAGTTTTAAATTTTTCAAATGACAATTTGAAATTTTTTTACAATTGATTGATTTTCAAAAATAATCTTTTAATAATGGATACTCTGAATATCGCTTTTTTTGGTATTTATTGTTCAGGCCTTAATCACCATTGTGAAGCCAATGTCATAGGTTGATAACTTTCACTCATGTAAGTAACTGATTATTGGTACATTTTGTATTTTTAAAGTTTTTATAAAATTACAGATGTGGGTCTTACAATACATAAACATTTTTAGCGCCAAAAAGCTACTGTAAAACAAATTTCAGTTTCAAATAAAATGCTTCGCAGAGCACAGCCTGATATGGCCGCAGAGGTCGAACCCTGAACAGTTGGGGCAAGTTTGGAAACAATATTCAAGCTTGATACTGTCTGAATTTGGATTGTGATCAAATTTTTGACATAATATAGGTTTCTGACACAAAATAAATGTGGTCAAAGATCTTAAAAATTTGAAATGGGACATTTAATTTACCTAGAATGGTCTGATATCCAAAATCTAACAACATGGTTAGATTCAGCATATAAAAAAACACCAAAAATTTAATTTTAGTTGAAATCAAACAAAGTTTAATTTTGGACCCTTCAAACCTTAATATGGACTAATTTGAAAACAGGGCCCAAAATAAAAATCTAAATGCACAATAAGATTCAGCATATCATACAGCCGCAATAATTCAGCTTTTGATGAAATAAAACAAAGTTTAATTTTGGACCCCTTTGACCTCAATGTAGACTAATTTAAAAATGGGACCCAATATCCAAACTAGTAATACAAGATTAGAACCCCCAAAAATTAAAGACTTTAAATTAATCCCATTGAAATTGGTTAAAAGATTTGTATTTATTTTTAATTGAAGATTACTTGCTATTGCACAATACTGTGCTATTGCGCAATACTGTGCTTTTGTGCAATACTGTGCAATTGAAGATTTCTTGCTATTGCGCAATACTGTGCAAGTGAAGATTTCTTGCTATTGCGCAATACTGTGCTATTGTGCAATACTGTGTTATTGCGCAATACTGTGCAATTGAAGATTTCTTGCTATTGCGCAATACTGTGCAGTTGAAGATTTCTTGCTATTGCGCAATACTGTGCAATTGAAGATTTCTTCTGGAAACTTTTCAAAAAATTTGAAATTTCAAAAATTTTGAAGAAAAAAAAAAAAATCCAAACTTTTTTACCCCCCCCCCCCCCCCCCCCCCCCCCCTTGGAGTAATTACCCCCAAACTCAATCCGAAGCCTTCCCTTTGTGGTATGGAACCTTGTAGTACAATTTTAGAGAGATCCATACACTTACACACAAGTTATTGTCCGGAAACTACAAAAATGCTTGTTGTTGGCCACTTTTTGGCCCCCAATTCCTAAACTGTTGGTACCATAACCCCCAAAATCAATCCAAACCTTCCTTTTGTAGTATTGAACCTTCTGGTAAAATTTCATAGAGATCCATTCACTTAAACTAAATTTGTCTTCGGACAACAACGACGATAGCATTATACGAACCCAAAAAATTTTTGCATTAGTATAAAAATCTAACCATGAATTATATTATATTCACTTAATACATATAAAATAAATAATCTTAATGTCTTTTAATATATATTATACTTGTATTAAAGTGATTTTCAATATTTCATTATAATGACAGAAGATTGAGACAATGAACATTTGTTGAAAGGGAAGTTGAGTTTTTTTATTATCAAGGATATTTATAAGAAAATTTAAGTATTTATTTCATCAGCCGTTCAAAAAAGCCAAACCTTATCAATGTGAACATTGTGCTTTCACCAGTAAATTTAAATTAGACATACTTATTTATGATGTAATCTCCAGAGAAAATATGGCATGGAAGAAATATATTTAATTAGAAAGGACACTTCTGACAACATATGTGATCAGTGTGGAAAAATATATGTACGACAATAGGGGAATCCAGATGCATGTAAAATATATGCAATTCTGGGTAGTACTCAATTCAAATGTTCAATATGTTCGAAACAGTATATGTCTCAAACTGGATATGTAGGGCTCTTAACTTCTTGTCGCTTCTTTGAAACTAAAAGGTCACTTGTCACTAATAGTAGAAATTACACTTTTGGGTATTTATTATAGCTGAATTTGGGCCGAATATGCTTCTGACGTCATGCAAAACTCACTTATAATTATGACATCAAATGTTTTATTTGTGACTCAAAATTTTGCAGGAACTTGTTTGACTTTTAGTAAAATGGTGGACAAATTTGCATACAAGACTTAGTGTAAATATGTCTAAACACAAAATTTCAATTTCAATGTAATATGAATGACCTGCCCTTGTTGACTGTAGGTAATTTGGAGGAAAATGTGTCATAGGATATTGTGACTTGAAATTTTTCTGGGAAAAGCATATTAATACATGTACACCAATCACAAGTTTTTATGAAAGAATAACTCCAGTTGATCAGAGGTCAATCTGTGTAGATGGCATAATCTAACAATCGGTTCTAACTGTGACATAATAACATAAGCATTGTGACCTACAAAATTTGAAATTTACGGGAAAGTGCACAAATTCGAAAGTTGTCTATTGGAAGATCGGATCTCCTGTAGTTGGTGATCGCAATACTAGTATACTAGTATTGTGCACAATACTGGTATAAAAATTTTGTACCAGTATTGTATTCCAGTATTGTACCAGTATTGTGTTTTTTTAAAATAAACAATACATATAGGTAATTAATCTTTCATTAAAGGTGTCACATATATATGCATAATGATATTAACATATGACATGACAATTTTATATGGAATGATTGTATGTTTAACTGATGATGCCATTGATGGTACACTGTGATTGTAATCAAAGAAAAATTTAATTTTTCTGATGTTTTTTTCTTAAGGGAACTGTACTGTCTCAGCATTTTAACAAACTCTTTACTTTCTTCTATGTTTTCTTCCAGCTCTCTCCTTCAAGTCTCAATAGTATATTTCAGTGAATTTTATATTGACATTAATGCTGTTATAGCTTCTGTATCATCAGCATTGGTATTGTTTATTTCTTCTTCAGATGGCATTTCAGCAACCCCCACTTCCTATATTGATATTTATGTATTCAGTCTGTGGACTTTCTCTTACGCTTACTAGATTACAGGCTTGTTTAGATAGCACCTGTACGGCTCTCTTACTGTAGGAGTGCTTGTCTAGTATTAGTATTTGAGTATTTGTACCAGTAGATATATCTGCTACAAATTGTATTGCCCATGGTTCTGAATCAACTGCTTTAACTACCCTTAACATTCATGTAGACAAACTAGTTAATTTAATTATAATCAGGTTCCCCTATTAAGCAACTTTTTATGTTTAATGGATATTGATATCTTTTATCATGTTTATTGTGAAAGATTGATAAGAAAATAAAGACAAACAAATGCTTAGAATCTTAGTATACATGTATTAAAATATCTGTAAAAAATATACGATGGCATACATGTAAATGCTGAATTTACAGTGTTATAGTGTAAAAATTTGCTTGAATTTATTAAATAATAACTCAGATAATAAAGCTTTTATTTTTTTATCTGAATTGAATTAAATAAAATATAGAAATATGATAAAAATTTTAGCAATTATTTATATAATTAACAATTGTTTGAATAAGATGAGTTAATTACAATAATTTTTGTTTATTTGTACAAGTATAGTTATTATTTTTAACTGGTTGTTAATTGATTTCACAATTATCCTCTATAATCTTTTTGAGTTCATTTAATCTCCCTTTGATCTTCAATATCTAATTTTGCTTAAAATTCATTTTTCATTATACACCTTAAAGTATAGTGAACAATACAACTACAGTACTGGTATATCAGTAATGTACCAGTATTGTTGTTTTTTAAAAAAAAAGTTACAATACTGGTACAAAATTTTTATACCAGTATTGTGGACAATACTGGTATACCAGTATTGCGATCACCAACTACAGGAGATCCGGAAGATCTGACATGATTCGATCATGTTAGACCTTGATTTTTTGTAATTTGTCTGACTGTGTGTCATTTTTCATTGCAAGTCCGTTAATTTAGTATGTTTTGAAAATTTTGTACATAAGTTAATAATGTTATTGTAGTAAACAGCCCAGAAAAAAACCTCATATCCAACTATTTTGTCATTATGATGCATCCCATCCTATTCCTAACTTTAATCTATTTTATCAGTTTATGTTTTGGCTCTAAATTTTTAGAATACCTCTGACAGTTTTTAAATTGGCAGACAAGACATTACTGATCTTATGTACCTTTGAACCTATAATTTATCTGGTCAATTTCATAGTTTATCACACCAAAACAATAGTACTGTGTCTGTCAAAGCGTGCCTGGCGACAAAGTTCATGACCCCGTTTAGCAGGACAGCAGTGAATTAATATAAAATCATAATAAATCAAAACAAAGCTTGTTTTATAAAAAAAAGTACAGATAGAGAATATAACTAGCAATCAATTAAAAATTAAATCGAACAATTAAATTTTTATCAGATTTATTTTATATTTTGAAGCTCGGAATATCCGGAAGTGTAAATTTTGCAGATGACACATGTCAACAAAATATTTTTTGTAGGATTCTGTAGCTTAAATATATAGTATGGACCGTTGTTACAATGGTAAAATTGAAATGTTTAAACATATGCCTGCGTTATTTTCACTTTTTCATTATTCTAGCAATGCATTTTTTAAAAGTAGTAGAGCTAGAGCTCAATGTTTACCACAAACAAGTTTACATTTTCAGTTGATATTTTATTAATAATCAGGAAATGTAAATTATCTTCAAACTATGTAACGAGATCCTGTGATTTTATTGAAATATCGAAAAACCAACAACAAAAAACTGTCGTAAATGAGGCAGGTACCACCTGATGATCTTCCAAACGTTATTGATTTTTATCAAGTGGATTTTCCATGTTTGTTTTTCTTATTATATTTTTAGCAATCAGATACATTTTTACCTTATCATGTGATTCTGTGTCAAAAGCAATTTTCTGATTTAAATCAGAAACCGTTAACAACATGATCAAGCCCTTTTAAAATATATACACGCAAATTTTAAGTTTACAGTTAGTACATGTAGAAAATACAATATACATTCTGACTTAAAAGTACATGTAGAAAATGCAATATACATTCCGACTTACAAACTTATTTACACATACATGTATATGCCACACCATTAATGTTAAATGATAATGACTAGCACATAATACCAGAGCTGTTGATAATCGTCAGATCTGTCTGATCGGACCCAACCAACAAAAATTGACACAGTCTGATTGACATTGTCATGTTTGACCATTTGTCCAGTAAACAATTTCGATCTATTAGGTTTGATAAAAAAATTATATAAATCCTAGTTTTTTTTTAAGTCTGCGTTCAAGATTTCAGTGTTGACAGATAATTTTGACAGGTCCTGCAGTCAATATTGTGCAAACAGATAAGTAGAACATACAGTGCAAAATTTGACATCTGGGATTCAGTGCATTAGGTCAATGTGCACAATCAATCAATATGTACACTCGAGTCATCCTTAATCACAGTTCCTACGTTTGTTCTTGTAAATCTGTCATGATATGTCTCCAATATTGTTCAACACATAACATGCATAATATCACATTAAAATTCTGAGTTTTAAACATGGTAACAATAAAGATATCAAAGTTGAAGCATCATATACGCATTTTGTCGTTTTATTTGTCTTTTCCTTATAACTTGTCCATCAATAGATGCCAGAGATTTACAATGAGGCGAGTGTTACATATTTGAAAATATGTTGTCACCAATTGAAAAATGACTGCCTGTCAGTTTTTGTCGAGCCTGCGACTTTTGGTCGCAGAAAGCTCGATATAGGGATAGTGATCCGGCGGCGGCGGCGGCGGCGGCTACGGCGGCGGCGGCGTTAGCTAACTTCTTAAAAGCTTTATATTTCAGAAGGTGGAAGACCTGGATGCTTCATACTTTGTATATGGATGCCTCATGTTACGAAGTTTCCGTCAGTCACATGTCCAATGTCCTTGACCTCATTTTCATGGTTCAGTGACTACTTGAAAAAAAAGTTAACATTTTTTGTAATGTTAAATTCTCTCTTATTATAAGTAGTAGGATAACTATATTTGGTATGTGCGTACCTTGCAAGGTCCTCATGCCCGTCAGACAGTTTTCACTTGACCTCGACCTCATTTCATGGATCAGTGAACAAGGTTAAGTTTTGGTGGTCAAATCCATATCTCAGATACTATAAGCAATAGGTCTAGTATATTCGGTGTATGGAAGGACTGTAAGGTGTACATGTCCAACTGGCAGGTGTCATCTGACCTTGACCTCATTTTCATGGTTCAGTGGTTATAGTTAAGTTTTTGTGTTTTGGTCTGTTTTTCTTATACTGTGTGCAATAGGTCTACTATATTTGGTGTATGGAATGATTGTAAGGTGTACATGTCTAGCTGGCAGGTGTCATCTGACCTTGACCTCGTTTTCATGGTTCAGTGGTCAAAGTTAAGTTTTTGAGTTTTGGTCTTTTTTTCTAATACTATATGCCATAGGTCAACTATATTTGGTGTATGGAAATATTTTATGATCTATATGTCAGTCACGTAGGTTTTATATGACCTTGACCTCATTTTCACGGTTCATTGATCAGTGTTAAGTTTTTGTGTTTTGGTCTGTTTTTCTTAAACTATAAGCAATAGGTCAACTATATTTGTTATATGGAAGAATTGTTAACTGTACATGTCTGCCTGGCACGGTTCATCTGACCTTGACCTCATTTTCATGGTTCATTGGTCAATGTTTAGTTTTCTTGGTTAATGTTAAGTTTATGTGACAGTTGTAATAAAGCTTTATATTTAGGACTATCAACATAATATCAATGATTAGTAAAGAAGGCGAGACATTTCAGTGTGTGCACTCTTGTTGTTTGTATTTACTAGTTTCACCTTTCTTTAGCAAACTTGACCAGTGTTTTTGTCAATTTCTTGAAAACTAGTACAGTAAATGACAGTGAGTTCCCTAGTAATTTTTATTTATGATTTTTAAAACTTTCTGCAATCTGAATTGGAGCAGAGTGTGATCTATTTTGCATCTGGTAAATCATGTAAATCTTCTGTTTTTAGGCAGTTAAGCTGCCTTATGCTAGCACACTAGATTTGCTTTTCCCCTTGGGAAGTCTGAAATATGTGCCATTGCCCTTATCTAACAGGCTGGTAGGTTATATTACTGTTATTATGTATGACTAATTGGACACTTTTTTCATGCTTTTAGCTCTGGAACACAAAAAATATGTCTAGAATAACCTTATTGATAAATGATTGTCAAAGAACCCAAAATCTTTGACGTTGCACATTGGAAATAGTCCTCAATGGATTGCCTTACTTTATTTTTTTTATCCTATGTGATTTTTAATTTAATAACGATGTTAAAGAACAATTGTATGAAATATTTCATTGCCAAAAATTTCTATATACAAGTCGTTTACATGGCCCTAACTGTTTAAGAACTAGGGGTCAAAAGGGTCGAAAAACAAGCATTTTATAGAACTTTGTTAATATTGCTTATTTCTTGACCTATTTCAATGGGGTTCTTTAATATGCTGGATCTAATCCTGTTTTTAGACTTTTTTTTACTGTATTTTGGTTACCGTTTTCAACTTGGTCTAAATTGGGGTTTAAAATTGAACTTTGTTTTATTTCAACAAAAAATGAAATCTTAGCATGCTTAGTGTTCTTTGATATGATGATTCTAACCATACTTTTAATTTTTCGATTTTGAACCCGGTATTCATATTGGTCCACATTGATATCTAAAGAATCCAAAATTAAAGTTTGTTTTATTTCGACAAAAGTTGAATTCTTAGTGTTTTTTAAATGCTGATTTAAACCGTATAATCAGAATTAAAAATTTTTGGCATCCTTGTCCAAAGGGTTGAAAATAAACTTTGTTTAATTTCAACAAAAATTAAATTCTTGGTGTACTTGAATATGCTGAATCTAACCGTGTATTTAGATTTTGGATATTAGACCATAATAGATAAAAGTCCAATTTCAAATTTTTCTGTTCTTTGACAACATTCATTCTGTGTCAGAAACCTATTCTGTGTCAAATATTAAATCAACAATCCAAATTCAGAGCTGTACCAAGCTTGAATGTAGTGTCCATACTTTCCCCAACTGTTCAGGGTTTAACCTCTGCTGTCGTATCAAGCTGTTTCCTGCGATGTGATGAATAATTAAAGCAACTCTTCCACAATTTTCATCATTTCTTTTGCCTTGGTTTTCTATTAACTGCCTACAGCACTCACAATGCTTTGATTAATTCTTTCAAGTGATTCATTAGTCTATTTTGATTGCATGTTGTTGCAACTACCAATGGTTTATTTTCCGCTATATTATTATCTCTTAACAGGTCTGCTCTACTTGTAATAAATGTCTGCTTACATTGAGCTGAAAACACACGAGAAGAATTCATTCTCTGAAAAATCAACAGCAAATCATAGCTGTCCCATAAATTCTAAATTTTTGAAACTTATAGCATGTATAGTACTTTGAAGTGGCTTTTTGGTTAATTTTTATGATTACATGACTTGATCCATTTCTTATGTTGGTAATGGGGGTGTGTAAGATTCAACATTCAAGATTTATTGACCCATCATGCACTCTTTGTTTTTTCCTTTATCAAGTTTATTGTAATACTTAACTTATTAACTTCAACGATGCATGCAAGTATATGTCTTATTGAAATGCTTCAATTTATATAAAAAACTGTAGGTCTAGCAAATACTCAAAGGGTCTGACAAGGTGGACAAGTCTGTCAGATCCATTGTCTGACAGACCAACAGATTTCAACAGCTCTGTAATACAACATGTATATGTAGGCCTAGGGTATACAACAACTTGTACCTTTGCCAACTCAGCACTCAACCGACCCATACTTTTACCAACTTGTCCTTCTACCAGCTTGTACCTATTTTTATAGCATTGTTATGTATCATTTTTTGAGGTAAATTGTCAACTTAATGGTAATTTTGTATTGAATTATTGATCTTGTCTGAGACATGTATAGTAAACATGTCTAGGGTCCAGTAATAAAAAAAAAAAAGAAAGAATTATTGACAAACATGACTTTGTGGAATGCAGCTTAGATATCTTGTGAAGTAACAAATTCATCAGTTTTCTCCTGCCTTGTTTGTACCTGAGAATATACGGCACTTCATCTTGAAGCTTGAAATATGCAGAGAATTTTAGAAATTAATTTTTTGACCAAATTCTTTGTTTGATGTGTGCTTAAGAAGATTTGTTTAAATGAATTTACAATGACAAACTTTAATACCATACTTTTTCTTTTTCGATGAAAATGATGATTGTAAAAGTCTACTTCAATCAGCAAAGTTTGATATTCAAAGTGCTGCGTTTCCTCTGAAATTTATGTTTTTATTATCCTCTAAGTTTGTTTTTTTAATCAACCCCAATCTAATCATTTTGTTGGTCCACCAGAATGATTCCTTATAAGTTTATCTTATAATTATAATTTCAAATCAACATATATTTTCTATTTTTTTTTTTTTTATTTTATGGGTTAGAAAATAACTTTCATGATACATATGAATAATATCTAATAAAAGTATGAGTTAGTAATAATTCAGTTAAAGTTGGTCCAGTTCTAGTTGACATGAATCCTATTCATGCTATAAGTATATCAACCTTGACAACTCTTTTTGTCCCTAACACACAATGGATGTAGTTTTAATATTTTTGTAGGATAATGGCCACTGAAGCTGCAACAGATAGTAAAAAGTTATTGAGGAGATCGTCATCAAATAAGATGGGACTGAAAGAAAAAGTTGTACAGATTTATGAAATATTCTTTCAGGTGAGAGAATTTATACAGCAATCCGATAACTTAAAGAAGAATTTAATATTCTAGTTTTAAACTCTTTATTTATCTTACTAATTCTAAAGATGTTTTTTTTGCGAAACAAAAAAAAAATCCGAAGATGTAGCATGATTGCTAATGAAACAGCTCTTCACCAGAGAACAAATGATGCAGAAGCCAATAACTGTAGGTCACTTAAGCCTTTAACAATGATCAAAACCCATACCACATAGCAAGCTATAAAAGGCTTTGAAATGACAAATGTAAAACAATTCAAACGAGAAAACTGACGGCCTTATTCAAGTGCAAAACAAACGAAAAACAAATATGATATGATACTAGAATGCAGCAACAAACGACAACCACTGAATTACAGGCTCCTGACTTGGGAAAGGCACATACAGAATGGTGCAGGGTCAAGATAAGTGAACTTAGATGTTTAAAATGAATTCAAGTTATTTCAACTTTCTAAGTAAATGAGGAAAAGTTATAAAAAAATACATGTCAATCTTTGAAGGCACTATCACAGAAATGTATATACTACATTTGTAGTTCCTTTTTTTACCCACTTATGTTTAATGATTGCCCCTTGGTTTCCTTCTTCCCTTTTTTAAATCCTCGGGTTTTGTGTATGGTTAAGAAAATGGCCCAAATGCAATGTTCATCCATATTATATTTTTGCATTGAATTGAACACATTACTAACTTTTTTATCCAAAGTACAACCTAATATATACATTTCAGGGAGATGACCCATCCTGCAACAAACCAAATTTCTGGGATGAATTTTTCCTTCTTAAAGTAAGTACTATATCTATCATATATATGCAAGTCTTTCACTTGAATGGATGCATTCAGTATTACAAGTTCAACTGAAAGGAATTCTGATAGAAGCATCAATGACATAACGAGTGAAAAGTCCCAAGTTGTATGAATTTTTATAATTTTAAAAAGGGGGAATTCAAAATATGTATTCTGACTAGGGTTGACTGAACTTACAACTGATTTAAGCAGACAAGGGGCAGGTAGAAGAGGCTTTAGGAGGTTTGGGAAAATTACAGAATAGTGCAGGAACTGCAGTAAGAAAAAAATGTATGAATCTCTTCTTTATGATGAACATCAAAGTATAAAAAAAATCATTCAATACATGTTCAATGAGTAAAAGTAGTTCAATCATACCTGTCAGCCTTTGGAACTACAAAGTGGGAGATTCACCTCTTTCCAGCTCAACTTAAGGGGAGATTATATGTGTAGACTTTTCTCATTCAAAATTTTGTTCTATGGTATAAAGTATTACAATATTCAAGCACACAAGAATACAATTTAAGCTACGACTATAATGCCAAAAAATATTTTAGTACTTTTAGGAAAATCTCAAGTTTACCAAGTATGACTTCAAGAGATCAACACATTGTCTTGCATGCTGAACAAGTGCTCTTATTATATGCATGCAAGTTTTGAAAGAATGCAGAATTGAAGACCAATGATCTGAAATCAACACCTAATTTCACATTTACTTGTGATGCTGTTTAAAGCTTACAAATATTCCTGTGAAATACTACAATATTTAGTATGTAAAATATCAATCATGTGACTTGTCTTTGAATTTTTGTGTTGTCAAAAGTTTGTTTTCAAATTTTTTCACATATGTTTATTATTATTTTATTATCTTATTTAGGTTAACATTGGTCACATAGAGAGTGAATTTGATAAACTGTCCAATGAAAGCCTGCTTGGTTTAAAGGTAATATGTGAAAATATACTTTCCTATAAAAATTCCTGCATACTAAAAGTTTACTATATAATATTTCTAAAAGGTTTTGGCTTCATGCATTACATGTATCTACAAGCTCATGTTTGTTTTTTTTTTTATGCCCCACCTAGGGGCATTATGTTTTTTGGTCTGTGCATCCGTTCATCCGTCCGTCTGTCCCGCTTCAGGTTAAAGTTTTTGGTCAAGGTAGTTTTTGATGAAATTGAAGTCCAATCAACTTGAAACCTAGTACACATGTTCCTTATGATATAATCTTCCCAATTTTAATACCAAATTAGAGTTTTGACCCGAATTTCACAGTCCACTGAACATAGAAAATGATAGTGCGAGTGGGCCATCCATGTACTATGGACACAATCATGTTTATTAGTCCCCTACCGACGAAGTCGAAGGGGACTTTAGGTTTGCACTCTGTCTGTCTGTCCGTCCATCCATCCGTCTGTCCGTCCGTCCATCCGTCTGTCCATCCGTCAGTCTGGCAACTCAGCTTTCCGCACTTTTTTTCTTCTTTCTTGAAGATATTGATTTGATATTTGGTATATAGTTTTATCATTACAAGTTATAGATCAAGTTCGAATTTTGTTCCGGTCTGATGATTTAGTCCAGAGTTATGGTCCATAAAAAAACTCCATAACTAATGTTAGAGTACTATGTTAAACCATATAATCTATACAAAGGGAGATAACTCATTTTTTAAAAGACATTCTTTGGTAAATTGTTTGAGGAATTTTGTGGCAGGTTTATATGTTATTTTGTATAAACTAATTTTCTGAATGCTACATGTATATATATATATATTTTTTTTTTTTATTAAGTGAAATCCTTTAATTAGATAATAATCTATTTTTATTAAGGTATATATTTCATTACATTACATTGTGTAGATAAAAGTTGTTGACATTTTATAGATAAGTTACAAATCTATATTAGTTTGTGACAAATGAAAGAAAAAATATTTGGAACTATTAATAATATTTGATTGTAATTTGAAAATAGATATACATTGTATTACATCATATCTAATTTTAGAGAACTATTAATCATATCTAATGTTAGAGTGTTATAGGTTTTCCACACTTTTTTTCATCATGCTTGAAGATATTGATTGACAATTGGTTTATAGTTTTATCATGACAAGTTACAAATCAAGTTCAAATTTTTGTTTCGGTCTGATAATTTTGTGCAGAGTTATGGTCCTTAGACTTGAAAAAATTCATTCATCTATTCAGTTTTCCACACTGTTTTTAGTCATGCTTGAATTGACTTGATATTTTCTTTTTGTTTACACCATGACAAGTTATAGAACAAGTTAGCATTTTGTTCCAGTATAATGAATTTTTACCCTGTAGGGGACTATGTATTGCCATGCAATACTCTCAGAATGCTTGTTATTCATCAAATCACTTAAAATTTTTAGGACCACAGTAAAAATATTGTACTTTTCATTATTGAAACTAGAGTAAATGAATATGATAGGAGTGTAGTGGCTGACAGAACCAATTACATTGGTTGATTGATTGATTGTTGTTTGTTTAATATCCAGTGGCAATTATTTCATGCTTATTCAGGACAAGAAACTTTTAACTATTAATATAATACATGTAGGTAGGTTCTTAAAATTGGATCACAGGGATGATTTAGACTACCCTGGAAAACAATGGTATGTTGGATCGGGACAGACATTTTGTCTTTCAACAGGTCACCTACAGACCCATCAAAGTGTGGTTGCAACATTGGTTAACATCTGACTACTAGATGGTTATATCTCTCAGATAAAGGACATTCCATTGATTGCTTGAAAAGAGATTTAATTTACTTGACATGAATTTTCTTTTTTGAATTAGATGTAATTTTAATTAATGCCTTTTAATGCACCATTTAGAAATAAAAAAAGGATGAATTTTGTAAATGTGAATAATATTAATAGATGAAACATGTGCAGAAATACATTTTATTTTCATTTTTCTTTGCAGGAGAATTTAAACTTGCTGTTTTATAAAGCTGTACAGGCACTGAAAGAAGAAAATCCAATTAGAGTTATAAATGCATTACATGTAAGAAAAAAATATATTGATAATCAGTGTAAGCTTAAATATAATGAATATGAATAAAATGAAAATTGATAATTATATCCAATACTAAATTTGTTGTGCAAAACAGAAAGTTTTATAGAAGGTCAAACACAGATAAATCATTGATTGATTGTTTGGTGTTTAAGGCCACTCTCAGCTGCCAGGTTTCATTGGTGGAGGAAGACTGAGTAAATGGAGAGAACCAAAAACTTCAGTAGAAAAACTAACCTAAACTAAACAGCTAAAAGGCAAGAAAAATTCCAATTAGACTGCAACATTGCACAAAATTGTCAAAAAATAGAGTTCTACAGGTCATTTAATTTTTATAACCACAGACAGGAAAATGTCTCGCCTTCAAACACGCCATCATACATTTCCCATGCTTACTATATGGACAGTTGAATTTTAAAAAATGTTCAAACTACTGCTTACCTGAAATTAATTGCACATATTGACCCATATATTAAAAACTTGCTATAGAAATCCAAGTTAAATCTGTATACAAAATACTTGTATTTGTTTGGTTTTCAGACCTTATGTGCCCTGATCAGAGGTGTGTTTAAGAAGAGTGTAGGTGATTTTGGATTTGATGTTATTAATATCCTGATAGGATTTGATTCTGCTGAGACAGTAATGCAGGTAAATATAGTTTTTGTGAGGGGGTATTTTTTCACTTATAGTAATATGCTGTTCAGATTAAAATTTAGAACATATTGTCTTTTGTCTCATAATTGTGTGGTTGTAATTTTCGTGGATTCTTTGGGTATAGGGTAATTTAACCATGAGTTTGAGTGTTAAATACAATACAAATTTACAAATGATTTGTCTGCAGTATTTGTTAAACCATAAAATTTAAGTATGCATGAACACAATTATCATTGTATATTCATCAGTCCACACTTATTTTTAAATGAATTTATCAAGTATGGTATTTAAAAAAATTGTTATGAAACATAATTTAAATAACATATACTAAAAATGACCTTGTGACAGTTTAAAAGATCAGAATGTACACGCAAGACATACAATTATTATTCAGACTGTTAAATAATGGACAAAAATGCAAGATAAATTATTGCAATTTTAAGAAAAATGCACATATAAATAATGCCTTCAAAATATAAAATGTGAGGTTTTATATTTGCTTAACCTATCCTGCTGCAATTTCTGCAATACAAACATCACTAAGATTACTGAATTAACAGTAACAAATTCTGTAAACTTTGGTATTTTTGGCAAGCATGAAAACCTGTACATGTCTTGTTTATTTATATAGAAACTCGAGGAGAAAGTCTAGTACTAAAAGGCTTAATTAAGTTTTAAATTATAACAAAATGTTATTGGAAATGTAAAATTAGATTGATACAAACCAAACAGTATGTAATGCCTAATTAATACTGGTTTTTATGACATTGTACATTTGTATTTTTATTACAGCTAATGGTGGAGAATTTAAACAGAATTTTAACAGAAGAATATCCAGTCATCTTAAAGCTCCAAGTTTTGAAGTTTTTACAAGTTTTAGCCACAGTAAGTTGATGTCTTCCCAAGAACCTCACCAGTGTCACATGCTATAAGATTTAATTGTAGAAATAAAGTAGTTCATGTAAATCTTAATGTATCTACATGAGCCATCTTGATTGACATATTATTCTTAAACTCCTTGAACTTTCCAATAGTTACTGTTTTTTTTTTCTGATTCTGTTGTTTTGGAATTGGAGCTAAAGAAACCAGTAAAAAAAGTTGGTTAAATAAAGCTTTAGGGTTTAATAGTAACCAACAAAAACTTATTTTTTTAATTCTTTGTTTTATCACTGGAACTATAAGTTGTATAAATCATACATAAGGGGAAATAACTCTAGAAATAAATAATTTATTCTACTAAAAAAATGTTTTTAGCTACTAGGTCAGCAGAAGCAAAATACTTGACATTATAAAGAAACCTTGGCAAGATCAAAATTATATTGGTTTTTAAAGATTTTTGATTTAAAAATTTCATTTATTACTTGATAAGAACAAATCCTGAATATGTATAGATCTTTTAATTAATAGTCTCATCCTTAATATGCATGAAATATTTGCCCCTTGACATTAAGCAAACATTATCTAGGAACAGAATTTGTTTCACAAAAAAGAATGCTACTCTAAAATAATGATTTTTCTTTTGTAGGCAACAGATAACATTAGCCAGAATACTCTTTTAGAATATATTTTAATCAACAGTGTATTTGAATCTTTGATCCAGGTAAATATTTGTTAAGTAATATTGTATTACCTGATTGTAAAATGAAACTATTTCCCGATACAAGGGTTAAGAAATATATACTGAGTGCCTTTAGAAACACAAGCAAATTATATTCTTAGCTGCTATTGGTCCTTTTTTGTATAGCTTGCGAAGAAAGTCACAGAAACTAGACATAGAGATCCTACACTCTGTCATCAGTGTCGTCAATATTTAGGTTTAGTTTGTGGTTAAAATCTTTGAAAACGTCAATAAATTTGTTCAAAATCTTAGTAGAATTTTATGAAACATGGGCAGAAGCTTTTTCGTAATCCAAAAATAGTATAAAAAATAAAATTTTCGAATTTATTTTTTCATTTTCCCATATTTTACTGGTAAATGAACTGACTGTTTTTGCTGTTAATATTTAGACAGAGTCTATCATTAAAGTATTTGAGACATTTATAACTTTTCAATTTTCATGGAATTTTATGAAGCTTGGACATCTGGTTCTTCATGATGAAAAGACAGCATCAATGAAAAATTTTGAACAGTGCAAATATACTCAATAACTTTATTTCAAGTAAAAGATAACATCCTTCAGTTATAATCTACATTGAAATTTCATTCCATATTATGTTGTTATTTACATGTATATTATTCTAAATACTGCATAAAGATTCCATAACCTATTCTATTATATTGTATTGTATATATTCCATGCAAACAATCTATAACACCAAAACAATGGTAAGAGATAAATTCATAATTATATTGAATGATATTTTTGTAGATTTTAGGGAATGCTGCATTAAGACAGATTTTGGGTCATGACACTGTGTTGGTTCTAACACTTTTCATACAGTACAGAAAGTATGAGGTATACCAATTTATATAGAGTAAAAAGATTTTTTCAAGAGAATTATTTTATTTTATTTCATTTCTGAGATGTTTTTTTTTTTTATTTGTAAGTTGATGTAAAAGGTCACCTTTCTTTTATCACTTCATCATTATATTCATAAATGTATACTTAATATTGAGTGGCAAATATTTAATGTGTATTCAGGAAGATCAGATGTCAATGAAAAAGGAATATATCCTTTTGTATACAAGACAGATATGTTGAGTCAGCTTTTAACATGCTAGCACATTAGGTTACAGTCAGCATTTAACATGACATCATATCTTGACACTTTGATTAAACCCGTAGATATAACTCACTGTAACAAAAACGATTTTCAAAACAATTTTTATGCCCCTGCCGTAGCGGAGGGGGCATTAAGTTTTACCCTTGTCTGTCCGTACGTCCCCAAGTTGGTTTCCATTCTCTCAACCAAATGTTATGAAACTTATACACAATGCTTATTACCACAAAATACAGATCATGTATGAATTTTGGTGGTGTCACTTTTACTATTATAGAGTTATGCCCCTTTATAAATGGAAAAATTGCTGAATTTTTTCTTTCTGTACTCTAACTTAAGTTTGCCTCAACCAAATATTATGAAACTTATACACAATACTTATTACCACAAAACTCAGATCAAGTACAAATTTGGGTAGCGTCACTTTTACTGTTATTCAGATATGTCCCTTTATAACTTTATATGATATGCAAGCGGGGGCATCATCTGTGTCCCATGGACACATTTCCCATTTTTCTTTTTAAGTCATACCTTCTAGCAGGCCAATTACTTCATGATACATTTTATAAAGCAACATGATGAACAGTTTTTTGTACATTGCCCAGAGTATTAAGTGCAAATATTGGAATAAAAAAGAATGATAGACCTGATTAGTTGCTTTTCAGTATTAAGTAAACATTTGATATTATTAAATTTTTTGTTTCAGTCTGCAAATCAGTATATTGTAAAGTTGTCAATTTTGGATGATGAACTAGCTCTTACGGTAAGTTGAAGTTAGTTGTAACAAATTAGTTCTGCATGCTTATTTTTGAGGAATCCAGCTTGTTGCCCATCTTAAATACAATTTTCACATAAAAATCATGTCTAAACTTTTCTTGAAAAAGTATTGAAAGAACTTAATGTAAAAAATGTAAGAAATATAAAATTAATTTCAAAAATTGCAAACCAATTTTGTCCATTGTGTTTTAAAAAATGAAACCTAGGAAGTATGCATTTTTTAGGAAGGTTTACCGTAGTAACAATGTATGTTGATTGCTTGATTTATTGTAGGCTTTAAATCTAAAGACCACTTAAAGACATAAGAGATATATCCTTGTGAGAAATTTTGGAGAGATGAAAATATTTATTGTAAATATCCTTAATGTCATGGAGGTTGATTCCACAAGTTTTATATTTTAGTTAATTACCATTGAAATACTGCAAAAGAAGTGGAAAGAAAAGAAAATTTCATGTACATAATTATATAAGTTATTTGTTTTCTTTCAGGGTTATGCACAAGTGGTCCATAATGCATTGTTTGATTTCAATAGGTATGTAAATTATTAGGTAGTTTTAGCTAATCTTTTTAGGTCCCTCTTGTTCATATAATTCCTCTAGTATTTATACATCCATAGTTTCTGGTTTTAATACTTCCTGATGATGAAGGTAAATACAGAAAAGTGCATTGGACACACTAAATTTATAAAGTGTTAATATACACTTGGTATATAAATTCATTGACTTTGCCATTGGTTAATGTAGGGGTGGGGATATAAATTTATGAGCTACTGGTGGACTGTTAATCCCCAAAGGTATCATGAGCCCAGTTGTCAGTGCTTTGCCGCTGACATGATTTTCATAGACATTTCTTAAAGGTTGAATTTCTCATTTATAATTACATTTGTATAAAGAAACTAAGCTTCCAACTCCCTCAGGCAAAGTTGACCTTCGACTTTTTGGCTCCTTTTTGTCATATTATTTCCTCAAATATTTACATCTAAGGCTTTTGAATATTATATGGATTTAAACTTTCCTGATGAAGATAAATCCAGAAAAGTACATGTGACGCACCAAATTGATAGGGCCACCCTTCAAAATTCTTTGTTTGATGTTGCCTACCCATGCCTTGTAGAGTCGGGTAGGTAGGTAGGGATTTTTTTTTTACCAACAACATAAGTTACATGTTTTAGACAAAACAAACAACGTCAGAGCAGATACAAATCTTTAAAAAAAAATTGAAACGATTTGTGTAATGAATTTTTTTGGGGTAGGCTGCTTTTTAGGTGGGTAGATGGCCAACTTCAAACAATTTAAATTTTATTTTTTGGCCTAGTTATATTCTCTTTATGTAATTCATAGCATTCCTTATTTCCAGTTTCTGTTTCTGTTTCTGTCGCAATTCAATATTTCAAAAGATTTAGAGTTTGGAATGAAAATCAATATTCAAGTTTATGCAAAAAATCCTAACAATTATGTTATAATGTTAATGTAATTATACATTACACGCACTACTTCATATACTAAGAGTTTGGCTTTATTGCAATCACATTTTGTTCAACAAATATGTAAGTAATGATTGTCTCAGATAGTAATGATTATAGTGATTTCATATTTGGTCAGCAGCTTTACAGTGTGGAGTTGTAATGTAGGAGCACTTTTTTTGATCTGTCAGACACCTATCGTTTGCTAATTCGATTGTTTCAATATGTTGAATGAACTAAATAATTTCATCACACATTTCTAGTTCTACTGAGCAGAATGACTTCATATCTGGTCAGCAGCTTGACCATTATCATGAAAACTATTATGAATACACACAGATATACCAAGGTGACTAATTTGTTAGTTGTTACACATCTAATAAGGCTATGTTTGTTTCTCAGATACTGTAAGCAATAGGTCAACTTCATTTTGTGTATTGAATGATTGCATCTTGTATATGTTGTCTGTCATGGTTTGACCTTCACCTGATTTTCATGGTTTTTTGGTCAATGTTTAATCATGATAAGCAAAGCAGGCAAGACTTTTCAGTGTGTGCACTCTTGTGTTATATACAAGTATATAGTGTTGTGGAAAGGGCTTACATAGGCTTGGCCTGTTGCCCAATCCAATTCAATTTATTTTAATATTTAGGCTTTACTATGTGATTATAACAAAATTTTACATATATGATGGAAAGACTGACAGAACAAATAACTTTTTTATATACAGTCAAACCTGCCTTAACGGTCACCTTGTTTCAGCAGTCACCTACCTCTAACGGTCACTTTCAGACCCTCCTAAACGTTTTCTATATATAATTTAACTCTTTTAAGCAGTCACCTAATTTTCACATGAAATCGTCATTTTCATGTTATATACAACCAAAATATAATCATGACGAAAATATATGTGTTCAGTATTGAGGTCAAAATGAGAATTGGAACCCGTTTGAAACCAAGATCAAACAAAAGGAGGTGATTTTTTTTGGAAACCTCATTTAAAAGGTCACCTCTCTTGAGCGGTCACTTCTATACTTCCCATGAGTGACTACTTAATACAGGTTTGACTGTATATATATGGTATATACATAAAAATATACTTTACCTACAACTTCTTATCCACAGCCTTAAAAGTTCAAATGACCTGTCCCTTCTTATTGTCTCACATCGACAAGGTAAAAAAAGTGAGGCTTAAGCATGCTGTTTCCGACAGCAGTGTTGGCGGCTGCAGCAGCATCAACAATGTATTAGTTTTTGATTAGGTCACATTTATGGTGAACCACTAGTGGTAGATCAAGATATTTGGTATGCAGTTGAATTAACATTGGCACATCTCATTTCTTTTTGGCCCCACTCCCTCAGTCATGGCCAATTGACTTTAAAACTTTTTCTTGTATACAACTGCAAAAATTTGAAGCCTTATAATTGTATGGCTATATCGTCATCAATGCTGAAGACATGGTTTCCAGACAATAACTTGAGTATTAGTGTATGGATAATAAGGAAATTGTACTGCAAGGTTTCATACCACAAAAGAAATGGCATTTGGTGTGCAGTTTTATAAGCATTGGCATTTCACATTTCCATGGAGGTTATTTGGACCTGCACCTTTAATCATGATTCATTGACTGCATGATTTGCATAGTTTACATGTTTAAACTATGCCATTTTAATTTCAACATTTGCATTATACCATCAAAATTACAAAATGTGAGACATATCTCTGTGTCAACAGTTAATTTTATTTACTGTAATCAAGATGTTTTATATTTGATGAAATTCTATTCCAAAAGAAAGTTCATTTACATAGTTGGAAGTTATGCGAGGAAAAACTGTGTATGAAACACATATGAAAATAGTCAACAGACCATTACCATGAATGTTTTTATTGGATGATTGAATGGTAATTATGATTTTACAGTTGAGATAGCAAGCAAGGTAACCAAAGATACTACTTTTACCTACACACTCAAGTAATATAATTTTTCATAAAATAAAATCATAAACATACTCATGACTAAGCACACAATGACAAGTAAATGATTTTCTTTACTTCTAAAAACTATGATACAATGTTGATTAGCTAGTATGGTGCACTGGGCATCAAGCTGAATCAGAATGGAACAGTCTTGTTTACAATATATGCTAACAGCATAATGTTCTGGTGTTGATTTTGTTGTCCCAGTTTCTTGTTCTTTTTGTTCCTTCAGGAAATTGATAGAAAGGGAATAATTTATAATTTCTTTTGCTATTTACTAGTTGTTTGACAAGTACTTGGATCCTTTATTTGTTGTTAGTTCACTCTCATTCCAGTTTTCCATTAAATATATATGTATGAATATTATCAGGACCTATTTTATTCATAAGATAAACTGAATTTTGCCAAGTTTGTGGCACTGTTATTACAGATATAACCTTTAGACTCATTTTTTTTTAAACAAACACACCTGAGTTCTTTTAGTCCATCCTCCTCTTCGCTAACAAGTACTTTACTATCCTGTCCATCTTTTGATATTACTATTATTCTGCGAGCGTAATAGTCTACTACAATGACATTACCAAAGGTATCTATGCAAAGTCCTGCTGGTCCTAATAAATCCTCTTCATATTTCCAGATCTGTTGACCTGATTCATCAAAACAGGATACTGCTTGGCCTTCAAAATCACTATAAATTACTCTGTTATTACGGTAAACAAGGTATTCTGGTCCTGAATTACTCTCAATTTCTATTGACTTAAGTGTATTTCCTTCCAAGTCTATGATACGGATTTCATCTTTACCCAAACCTACAGCCAAAGAATTATTTGAGAAGGATAGACCACTGCATAATTTGTCAAATGGGATAACTGTGGTAACTTTTTCATTCTCCATATTGAAGAACCTAATGGCTTTCTTCTGAGGAAAAGTTAAGGCAATAGTGTCGTGATTGATCTGTGTTGCACTCCAGGATTCATCAGGTATTGGTAACTTTTTAATAAATTTGCCATCGGCAGTAAGTAAGTCAACATTACCTATTCCTTCACCTAGAATAACTCTTCCGTCTATCAGACAAATGGTCTCACATATACCAGCAATTATGTTCAGCTTTATCTGTTCCTCGATATTCATTTTCATCTTGTTTATGTTAGATTGTTTTTGTACTTGTACTTGTGCTTCTTTACTCAAATTTTCTTCTGTGTTCAAGTTGTTTTCTTTTTTAACAACGATTACTTCTCCTAAGGATTCTAATGGTCCTAGTTCGCTTACTATCATTTCTATCTCATCATTTTGCTTCAATTTGATGTCAACTTCTTTGGCTCTCTCATCGTTTTCGAGACCTTCAGCATATTGCTGACATTGATGCACTTCTTGTTCAATCTGATGGACACCTAGAAAAGATTGGAGTTTTGATTTATGTGTTATGACTGTATGTAAATGGTCTTTCATTTCCTCTAAGTTTTTCTTTTTTCCTTCAATTTCAGTAATGAAATCTGTTGCTTTTGACTTTTCCTTGTCCCAGATGGTATCTGTCTCTTGACAGAACTTCTTCTCTAGGTTGTCTAAATGTTGATCCATTTCATTCCTGGGTTCAACTACTGATTTCTTTATGTCTTCACATTGCTGTTCTATTGTTTTGATGTTTCTTGATTTGTTATTTACCATTTCAGCCAAGAGATGTATTAGGGAGTTGATATCTTTCTCTAAAGATTCTTTTGATTTTTGAATCGTTGTTTCCTCCACTACCCTAGCTAAACTTTTTATTCCAGTACACTTTGAATGACTGGTGGAAATACATTCATCACAGCAAGGCTTTAAATGACAGGGGCAGTACCAGTTGAACTGTTGACTATGTTTGTCACACTCTGTGTTCAAACAAGGTGTAGGTTTACTGGATGCCATGACCTAAACATATGCAAAATAAGTTATTTAACTATTGTAACTAGGTCTACATGGTTCAGATTTAATTAATGCTATGAAATATAAATAAAAGATACCAAAATAAAATATTTATAAGAGACAGTTACTTCCATCCTTTCTTTGAATCCTGGATCCACAACCCCTGTGAATGTAGCCTGAGAGACAAGCTTTTACCTCAGGAATAGATCACCTTAGCTGTATTTGACAAAACTTTTAGGAATTTTTGGTCCTCAATGCTCTTCAACTTTGTACTTTATTTTGCCTTTTTAAATTTGTTTGATTCGAGCGTCACTGATGAGTCTTTAGTAGACGAAACGCCCGTCTGGCGCAAATACAAAATTTCAATCCTGGTATCTATGGAGTTTAGTATGGCGTTCATTATCACTGAACTAGTATATATATTTGTTTATGGGCCAGCTGAAGGACGCCTTTCCGGGTGCGGGAATTTCTCGCTGCATTGAAGACCTGTTGGTGACCTTCTGCTGTTGTCTGTTCTATGGTCGGGTTGTTGTCTCTTTGACACATTCCCCATTTCCATTCTCAATTTTATCTATGATGAGTTTATTTATATGCTACAACATTTTTTAAGCCATGGTAGAAAAACATGTAATTTCCTATCCAGCTGCATCATATTGTATCTGCTTCTTAGACTATCCAAGGTCGAATTTTAAAAAGGAATTGTCTTAAAAGTATGTTTTGCCTGGATTTTTTTTAATGCCCACCTGGCCAAAAACAGCCAGTGTATACATGAACTTGATTTATCACTTGGCATCTTTCATCCCTTTTTCAGTGTGAATTTGTTAAAGTCATATACTCAAAGTGTCTAGTTTGAAAATTTTCTCTGATATTTCTGCCAATTTAACAACAGCAGCTGTGACAAAAATAGAACATTGGAGTTACATTATTGAAAAATTTGATTTAAAATTTGTCAAAGGTTATATAGCTACTTAACTTCAGGAAAATACTTTTTGCATTGTAATCCCTTGAAAGGACCATGATTGATGACCCCAAATTGCTTTCAAACATGATAAATCTTTTAAAGGTTGTATATTGCTGCTTAACTGTGGAAAATGATACAGTGATGATATCTTTACAGAATAATAGTTGATGGCCAAAAAACGATGACATAATCATTGTCGGAGGATGTACCGTGACCTAAAGTTGCTTAAATCCATGTCATTTGGACTTCAGTGGATAGTTGTCTCATTGGCAATCATACCACATTGATTTCCTTATTTATAATTACTGCCATCATATATATACAGCTGACACAGTTACAAAATTTTGGAAAACTGGCACAAAAGTTCGTTAAAAAGATTCTGTTAAGTGATACCTCTATGATGCTTTTTGAGTATTTTGGTTGATTACCCATCCACCAAACCACTTAAAACAGGATTGGCCTCTTACTATTTATAGAAAATTGAACAAAAAAATTATCATTTAATAGTACTATTGATGACAATTCAATGGCTGCTGTAATCGTAAAATATCCATCAATTTCATTGAATTGATGGCGAAGTACAATGATTTATTAAATGACGAAACATTCTTGTTATCAGTCATCAAGAATCATATGAGTTGTGTCCCTAAGGAAGTACATAAATTTTCATTAAAAATTAAGAGCTAGGGAAAATAGCATACTGATTGGAGTTTAATCTTTATGTTTTTTCAAAACATTTAATCACACTTGTGAAGCTAAAAACTATTGAAGTCAATAGTTATATTTCATTTAAAATTGGTTAAAAACATTATATTACTTTAAACTTATCATGCTTTGCATGGAAAGCAGCCCATATTGTCCAGTTTAGAACTATTTTACTATTGGCAAAGGGAAACAAGTTGTGTTAAAAGTGTGTAAAAATTGAATCAACTCTTTAATTGACAAAAAGGCTATTTTCATACAAATTATCTGTATGTACAGCTACTTATATATGACAAACAAAGATCTGTCATCAGTGTCATGTTTAGGGTCAGGCTATCCATAGGGGGTGGGTAGAATGGGATCACATTCCCAATTCCTGTGAAAATAAATACCAAATCCTTAATTCCCATGAAAAAATGTGTCCGTTCCTGAAACAGGATATAATATTAAATCATGAATTCCTGAATTCCTGCGAAATAAACGGCTCAATCGAGAATTCCTGAAAAATGTCCGTCAGCCCCTCTTTTCTATTTTTGATTTATTAAAATATTCTACTTAGGTTCTTTACACAGAGTAGATTTTTTCTTCGTAGAAAATGAATAGAAAATAGATATCTTTGGCTTCTAGTAGATTTAATAAATTTTTTCACATTGTTTATTACACAGTAAAAGTCAATATTTAGTTCAAGTGGTCCAATGTGCATTGTTAGCTATTGCTATCACATGGCCTCCATTGTTGTTGATATTTTAATTTTTTTATAAAAAATCTTCTCCTTTGAAAACTCATGACGAATTTCAGCAAAGCTGGCTGAATGATCCTTGGGATATTTAGTATAAAGTTGCGATTTTTGTTCCTCCAAGTTAACCAACATGGACACCATGATGGCTATAAATAGAAAGTATGGGGAAATTGCAAATCATTGCTTAAAATCAAGAAAATCATAAAAGATAGAAAAAAATCTGACCGTTTATTAAATGCTCGGAATTTCATGGTCTATCTACCTCTCTTGTCCAGTTTTATTATCAGATGACTTTAAATCACAATTTTTTACCAATTTTAGTGGATTTTGCAGATTGTCTTAAAAAGTATGATTAGATACTCAGAAACTACAAAAATGATCATCAATATAAGATCTATAAAAACCCTTATAGAGAACAATCGGGCATATTAACAAAAACATAAGTTTCAAGTGATTTTTTCTTTTCTGCAGGAGTTATGCAGTTAGGAACATAGAGCCACAAGGAGGATGGTTTTCAGCATTAGCCTCAATGGTTGGTATATAGTTTTATTTTATGAAAGGCTAAACCAGTGCAATTTTCAGTTCTTGACATTTTTTGGATAAAATTATGAGTAAAAATGAGAATTTATTTTATTAAAATTTTTCCACAGAATATTTTTAGAGGTAGTGAGTGGTAAAATACTCTGAAATATTATTTCCACTGGAGGAAATATTACAGCATTTATCAGAGGAACTTCTTTTAAGAGAAACATATATATTGACAGACAGATATATGCTTGTGACAAAAAGCTTTGGAAATTGAATATTAATTGTTCCAAAGCACCAAACTGCAATTGCTATATTCTTATATCAAACTTTCTAAATACTTTGTGAACAGTACTTTGTAATTTCCATTAAATAGGTATGAAGTGTGGGTATTCTTTAATATTTCTATTCTTCATGCTGCATTACATCCAGGAGTTTTTATACCAAGGTCTTTCCTAATTTATTCTAGTGAAATCATTGAGGGATAGAAGTATTTTAAGAAGTAATGCCTCCTTGGTTATTCAGATGGGTTCATGCCTTCTGCGTAACAAGTTAGAAGGAGACATGTCTCATGCAGTCACATGATTACCCTATTCATCATTATGTATAAACCAGGAAGGCCATTACAAAGTTATAATAGGTTGTAAATCCATCTTATAATTAGCATATATCTTACTGAAATAGGTGGAGAATGAACATCCAATTAGCTAAAAACTTTAGACAAATATGTATAAACTGTAAGAAGTCATATATTTCAATAGAATAGAGATATTTAATTGTAATTAATACAATAAATTTTCAAGTTTTTACTTTTAACTTCAAGTTATTCCTTTCTTTGAAAAAAATACAAAGGGAGGTAATTAATGTTAGAAATTTGATAACAACAAAGATTAGAACTGGTATCAACTATATTATCTATTTGAAATGTTAAACAGTGTTAAATCCTGGTGCCCAATTATTACTGAAAAAACCTATGCATGTAACTAAAATGTTATTTTTTTATTTGTTAAATTATGATCCTTTTAAGTTTTATATGGCATATAGGATTTAAATTTCCAAGCTGTGCTTTTGGACTTAAAACTGCAAGTTTAAAAAAAAACATGCATTGACAGGTGATCATAGATAGATGTCTTACATAAAATTGTATTTTACTGTAAAAAAATATATATAATCTATACCCTATAGTTAAAAGCCTGTCCTGCCCTTTTAAAATTTTCTTTCTAGTTGCTCATTTTTATTGTTATCCTTATCGCTATTTATTCCAATCTGGATAAGTTCTGAAATTACACAACGTTTTCATCCAGTTGAAGCTACTTGGGGCCCTGTTTAAACAATGTATTATACATAAAACTTCTCAAAGAGACATGTTTAAACCATTGAACACACCTCATTCAAAGCATTTAATTGATGATTTTAATTTGTGTTTTAAAAAAGTCGATTATAATTTTTCATAGTTCCAAAATGTCCGCTTTCGAACATTTCCTTTCTCATCTCATTACTGATGACCTTTATTTTTGCAACACTTGACCCAAACAGGAAGTTGGCTAAATGGTGTTTTTTACCGGATTGGACTAAATAGCAATAGGGTGTATTAAGTTATAGAAGCTCTTTGAAAAAATACTTACAGCTGTTGCAAAGGCAATTAATATTTGAGTCAGTAAAACTAGATTGCTTAGTCATTTTATATTTCAATTATCAAACTATTTTTCATAACTAGATTTAATAATTTGAATAGAATTGACCATATCATGATGCTAACAAATTGTTTTAGGTACGGTCCAATCTTTATGGTAATATAGATTAGGCTTTATATGTTTAATATTTATTTTAGGTTGGCAATATGTTTGTAGCAGATGAAAAGCAAATTGCTGCAGTTAGGTAAGGCAAAATAAATGTAGGTGTTTCTTGATGAAAAATTATAGAGTCATTAGGTGGAGAACAATTATGTTGCATATTTTGATAGAATAATTAAGCTAGCAGATAGAACAACTGATTTGTTAAAGAAAACTTTATGGTTAAGAAATCATCATAAAAAAGTTAGTAGTCACATTGAACAGTTAAAAAATTACTGACAAATGTCCCCACAAAAGAAAAGAGGTGATTCTGAAAGTTATTTGAATGTTACATCAAATGTATTTGATACATCATTGCTATGGCTGTAGATGCCATTTACTCTTTTAAAAGAGCAAGAGTATGTGAGAGCCCGAGTAATAGTAAAACATATAAGTGTACAATGTTTATTTCCTGTTTTCCTGTTTGTCAATATATTTTTGCCTGGCATGATTATTTTTTAGGTTAAATCATATATATGGTTCATAAAAAAGAAGAAAAATGAGGAATAGACGTCTATATATAATTGTATTTATTACAGGTCAAATGACTCAATATTACTGGCATTGTATGAAGCTATCCATCTCAACAGAAATTTCATTACAGCTCTTACTCATGTAAGTTAATCATAGCTTGGATAATATTAAATTTCAGTTTCCATGAAATTATCACATTATTGTTTCAGAATAATCTGACACCCCTTTGAAAATTTTTATCTCTAAAAACAGACGTAACCAACCAGTGATGAGGATTTTTTTATTCATGCTCATGCAATGCACCAAAAATTAGTGGCCAATTTTTATTTTGAAAGAATACAATCCAATGGTTTCAGAAAATGGAAAAGCAAGTGTAGATTTATAATCCTATTCAAATGCTAGACTTATCAGCTATCAGTTTAAGAAACTTTTTCATTATACCTGCCTTTTCGGTAACGATCACAGGGTCATTTGGAGCAGGCTTACCAATGATGTAAGTAAAACAATGTATAATTGATTTTTTAACATAATATAGCAGGTCTGTTGCAGCATATAATTATCCCAAACTATTTAACTTAAAAAAAGTAGAAATAATATTGCTGTACTATTTATCTATTTTTTCCTCTTTCAGACTCATACTCCATCTACCCCTGCCACACCCCCATCATCACCTGTTCTCTCACCTGGAAATCCTTTACTCAATCAAGGTATGTTTTTATATCCATTAAATTTTAATTAGGAACACTGATATTCAGAAAGTTCTTCATTAGTGTTGCAAAGGCGTAAATGCCAGGTGTAGTCATTTGAAGAATAGGAAATTAACAAATATGCTGAACATTCAAGGAATTTTACCTTTTAAGAATCTAATGCATTCTGGGTAATGTTTTAAAAAATGTACAACAAAACATTGTGATTGGTTAGATATATTCACAACACTTGCAGTATTTGTATAGGATTTTTGAGTGTTCAGTGAGTAACGTCTGATAAATTATGATAAATTCTGTATTCAATTTAATTTTAAATTTAATTTAGTTTAAATCAATAAAGTTTTTGTGGATAAGGTGACAGTTTTAAGATGTATAAAAAATTGCTGAATATATTATACTACTTTGTTTTATTGAACTTTTACCTTATTATTGATTAAATATCTTTTTCTCTTTATAGTGCCCAAAACAGATCCGGCTTTGTTAGAACCAACATGTCAGCCCACAAATTTACTGGTTACATTCCTGGAATATAGTTCTGTAGTCCTCCAAGATACCAAAGGTCAGAATTATTTACAAATATTTAGACCATGTTTGATTTTCAATGGTCAACTATTAAAATAACTTTTCAACTTACTGGCTGGAAATACATTTCACAATATGTTACAGGAGAATAGGGAACTTTTAACTGGCCTAACTAGGTTTTTTTCCCAGTATTTATATATGGTATTTTGAACCCCATCTGCCCTGAAAATTACCCTGGGCATCAAAACACCATATGACAGTGGTCTGGACCATCAGGCTTTTGGCTAATCATGAATACTGAGTTATACATGTAGCACATCAGAATAAAATACTTAACATCGGTCAACTGAAGAAGCCATCAGAAGCAAACACAAAATATTCTTGAACAAAAACCATAGAGTGTAGTTTGATAAACTGTGATTTACCTTACATAGATTTTTTGCCACAATTAAATTAACTCAGATTGAGCCATTCTAAAGTTCATGATAGAGGCTCAGTGGCAGTTATTTTACTTCAAAATCTTATATAACATTATTATTGGTATTCCCTATATTTGATTTTTTCACAGCTATCACACTTCTCATCAGATTCTATTTATAGTGCCATCTGTCTAAAATTGCATTAGCCATTGGGAACCATAGGCAAATACAAAAAATCCTTCCAACTCTGTAACATTGATTTAAATGGAATGACACAAAATTAAAAAAAATAGTAATGTATCTTGAAGTGCTTGTGTCATAATCTTATTATTTGAAATTATTTTTTTTCATTGCAGATGAAACACAACACAACAATGCCAAATTATGTTTGATTATTTTAACTTGTATATCTGAGGTAAGTTATGGTAAAGTTTGAAATCATAATAGAAAATGCTCTTTGATCTGATATATAAAATACCACTAGATGGGTTTATTTTATTATGAATTTACCATGCATATGAAAAGTTGACGATCATTTATATGTTGAAAAGTGATGTCAACATTTGAGAAAGAAAATAACACTTATAATATATATATATAATATAAATGTGTTGCCTCCGCAGCACTTTTCTGGATTAACCTTCATTAGGAACGCTCATACACCAAAAATTGGAAAGCCAAGGATGTATAACTATCTAAATAGGTGAAGAGCTATATGATCAAAGGAGAATACAAAAATAACCAAATCCATGTAAGGTCAGCTTTGCCTGAGAGAGTTGGAACATTCAATTTTTAATGATTTAAAATTTTCTCAAACAAGGGAGAATTTAATAACAAAAGTATTTTGTAAATCATGTTAGTATAGAAGCACCTACTACTGAGCTGATGATACCTTTGGGGACAAACAGTCTACCAGCAGGGGTATCGACCCAGGGATTTAAGGGTTAATTGCTGAATGTAATTCGATGGAAAGTATACATAATAATCCTCTTTAATAATTATGTTTGTTGAGTCCAACTGCCATCAAACATGCAGGCCTCTGCTGGTGGACTGATAGTCCCTGAGGGTATCACCAGCCCAGTAGCCAGTACTTCGGTACTGGCATGAAAATACGGATTTTGTGTTATTAAAATTTGCTTTTACAAAATTTTGGAAATTATTTAAAATTAAGGAATGTATCTCCCTCATGCAAAGCTCTGATTCCTTGCCCAGCTTTGGCTATACTTTTTGTCATTTTGGTTTATTGCTCTTCATGTTTTTAATAAGCTTTAGATTTTCAAATATTTTGGCCTCGAGCATCACTGAAGAGACATTGATTGTTGAAATGCTCATCTGGTGCAGAAAAATTGGCACCGTTTATGTTATTAAAGATAAAAAAAAATGTCCTAGAATTCCTTTAAATGGCCAATAATTACCAAATTATTGGAGTATTTACATTTGTAATAACCTTTCAGAATTATTATTGATAACACCAATTACTAACTTTCAATGCGACCAACAGTAACAGAAATGAAAAAAAGATTGATCAAAAAGTGATTTTTGAAGAAAAAAAATGAAAAATTCTCCTAGGAAAAATTCTACTGGGAGATTGTAAGCTTTATTGGGTGGATAGAATGTTCATTCTTGATATAGGGGAAAGATAGCAGATGGGTTATAAATATTCTTTGGAGCATTTAGTTTTACATAGTATAAAATATGCCAAATTATTAAACTTGCAATATTGCTTTTTAGGATCAGTATGCTAATTCACTGATGCATGACATCAATATGAACTTCAGAGTTCCTTTACACAGAATGGTATGTTATTTAATGGTTTCTTATAATTTTCTGTACACATGCTTGTTGCTCAGTGCATTTTTTTTTCTCTCACTAATATGAAAATACGGGGATGTGGTATGATTGTCAATGAGACGACGTTTAACAAGAGACCAAAGATGATGATGTTATAAATAACTATAGGTCCTTGTAGGGCCATCAACAATGAGCAAAATTCACACTGTATAGTTAACTATAAAAGACCCTTGCATGTCAAAATGTGAAACAATTCAAAAGAGAAAACCAGCAGACTGACTTAAAGCTCCTAAATTATAGTTGATATCATAAAAAAGTTAAACAACCATTTGAATCAATACAGAAACATGCATTAAAATAACAAAATAAGCAAGTGACTATTCCTGAAAAAACAAGGGTACAACTTATAAACTAAAAATATATCATCCACACACAAAAGTTTGTAAATTTGTTAATGATGTCTGATGATTTTGAAAATATTTTATTTTTTATCTTTTAAAGATTCACTTGTTTGTTCTAAAATTATTTTTATTATATTTTATAGCTTTAAATGATTTTATTTCCTTTTAGCCTATGAGACACAGGAAAATGAAAGTAGAGAAAGATATTTCATCAAGACCATTAGTGTGTGCAGTATTAGGTTTGTTTGCTTTAGGTCCATTGTGTCTGTTCCATAAAAACATTGACATTCATTAATAATTTCAATGTATTACATTTGCCAATAGATTCTACAAGTTGAACTCTTCTTTAAAGTGGTTCCTTTCCTCTAAACTAAAATCAATAGAATCTTTAAATTTTTAACTAAAATGGTTTTACCTCCATGTTCCTTTTTCTATGGTGGGTCTCGTTGGCAATTATACCACACATCTCAATTTTTATAGCATCATCTAATTAAAAAAATTAGTTAAATAAATAAGTCCCTGACCTTGTTTTTAAAGGCAGTGCTTTAATGCCTTTCTGGTTGCCGGGTTAATCCTTCCTTCCGCGATAGCCAACTTATCTACGTGGGGGGTCATTAGGCTCCAAGTAGATCCGGAAATGTTGAATTCTCTCCTCTTCTTATTGTGATATAAAATGTTTTTTGTTTTATTTCATTTACATTGGGAAAAAGAGAAACGATCATTGTGTTTTGTTAGTTTTAAAAAATTTTGATATATTTGTATTTTGCATTATAAACAGTCAACCGATTGACAAACTAGAATTATTTGAATTCCGTGTGGAAAGAGCTCGGGTTAATTTCGAGTGTTATCTGCAATCTATATGTTTATAAATCATTTCAGTCGTTGATATAATAATAAAAGGTCGACTGAACATGAATTATATTATACAATTTTTAAGCGCATTTCTGTTTTACTTTATGCACGTGAACCCGTCTAACATTATTGTTATTTCGCAGTTATATAAAGTAGCAAATTATCGTTCCTGAATAGGTGGGCGCCGTGGTAGCCGATCCTGTTCCTCAACTTCCGGTTTCTGTACTGTGCAACTATTTCAGTTACATTTTTAATTAACGATGCCAAGTACTTGTTGTTGTGTACCTGGATGTCATTTAAGAGGAGGACATGCATTTCCAAATGACTTAAAAAGAAGGAAAAGTTGGATCAACGCCATGGCCCATACGCAGATTGGACGAGAACACGATGAAATCGTGGAGTCCATCTCAATCAGCTGTTGTTTGCAAGGCACATTTTACTGAAAAAGACTACGTGCAGGAAACTATTCATGGTAAAACTCTATTTAGTTATATATGTAATCGCCATGCGAATTTAAACCAAAGTCTGTTTACAACCGCAATTATCGTTTTAGAATGAAAGGCCAAAGGGGGTGGTTAAGTCAAGACGTCATAATTTTTTGGATTACGATTCAATGTGATCTGTTTGAGATTTTTTGGTGATTGCTACAAATATAATGATTTCTTACAAGAGGTATATCATACTGAGAATTATTTTAGCAGTAATTATGCTAATGTAGTAATGACAGGAATGCATAAGCTATGCCTCATAGACTTTCTTGAAAAATATCAATGACAATGTTAACAGGAACAAAACAATGACATGCTCTCATCTATATTATAGTTATTTAGGTACAAACAATGTACGTTTGTTGCATAAGTCTCTCATTGTTTGTCCTTTGGATTTACATAACATACATTGATTTGAATCAGGCAAACATAGTTTTATCCAGATTGTAATGAATAAATCTAGTTAATATTTCGCCAGGTAATACAAAGTATACATTGCTAATGGAAGTTCATTTAATTATCAAAAAACTAATGTTTTATAACCATTTTCAGGGCGCAAATCCACCATACAGAGACTTAAGTCTACTGCCATTCCCAGCCTATTTTCCTGGACCAAGCAAGAGACTGAATCGTCCGCAAAAAGAAAAATCAGGGCAGTTTCCTGTGAAAACAAAAGAACTAAACTTGATGAATATTGTAGTAGAAATCTAGAGGAAAGTTTTGATTGTAAAGTTGGTTTTCCTGAAGAAGTCATTCATACTGCAGAAAGGATTTATGACTGTCCACCACCAACTGCCGGGCTAATGTTGAGCTTCACAGATGGAATTACGCAAACACCATCAATGCCTATGTTTTCAGCAGAGAATTTTGAAATGAAGACACGTGACACAGCCATGCATTTTTATACCGGTTTAGAGTTGTATACTAAATTTTTATTTGTTTTGACCACACTTGGTCCAGCAGCACATTGTTTGAGATACATATATTTTCAAATTGATAGACATAATAAACATGTGCACATAGAGCGAATTATTGGACTTGGCAAAACATACAAAATTCTAATAAATCCTATGAATGGAACTGAAACAAAACTTTCATCTGAAATAACATTTAGTTGTTTTATGTTGTGTAATTTTAGAACTTGTATTGTGCCAAAGGATGCATAAATAAAAGTGACGCAATGAATTTTGTTCTGATATATATATATTTATAATTACATGCACATGTAAATTGTAATGCATATAAAAATAAGGAGATGTGGTATGATATTCAGTGAGTTTATCGAACTAAAGTGCATAAGAAATGGGTTTAAGCAGTTACAGGTGTTACTGTCACCGTACAATCTCCAACAATGAGAAAACTTGTACCGTGTAAAAAACGTCAGAGATCTTACCACTAACTTCTTAAAAGCTTTATATTTTAGAAGGTGGAAGACCTGGATGCTTCATACTTTGTATATGGATGCCTCATGTTACGAAGTTTCCGTCAGTCACATGTCTAATGTCCTTGACCTCATTTTCATGGTTCAGTGACTACTTGAAAAAAAAGTTAACATTTTTTGTAATGTTAAATTCTCTCTTATTATAAGTAGTAGGATAACTATATTTGGTATGTGCGTACCTTGCAAGGTCCTCATGCCCGTCAGACAGTTTTCACTTTACCTCGACCTCACTTCATGGATCAGTGAACAAGGTTAAGTTTTGGTGGTCAAGTCCATATCTCAGATACTATAAGCAATAGGTCAAGTATATTCAGTGTATGGAAGGACTGTAAGGCGTACATGTTCAACTGGCAGGTGTCATCTGACCTTGACCTCATTTTCATGGTTCAGTGGTTATAGTTAAGTTTTTGTGTTTTGGTCTGTTTTTCTTATACTGTATGCAATAGGTCTACTATATATGGTGTATGGAATGATTGTTAGGTGTACATGTCTAGCTGGCAGGTCTCATTTGACCTTGACCTCATTTTCATGGTTCAGTGGTCAAAAAAAAAGTTAAGATTTTGAGTTTTGGTCTTTTTTTCTAATACTATATGCAATAGGTCAACTATATTTGGTGTATGGAAATATTTTATGATCTATATGTCAGTCGCGCAGGTTTTATTTGACCTTGACCTCATTTTCACAGTTCATTGCTCAGTGTTAAGTTTTTGTGTTTTGGTCTGTTTTTCTTAAACTATAAGCAATAGGTCAACTATATTTGTTGTATGGAAGAATTGTTAGCTGTACATGCCTGCCTGGCATGGTTCATCTGACCTTGACCTCATTTTCATGGTTCATTGGTCAATGTTTAGTTTTCTTGGTTAATGTTAAGTTTATGTGACAGTTGTAATAAAGCTTTATATTAAGGACTATCAACATAATATCAGTGATTAGTAAAAGAAGGCGAGACATTTCAGCGTGTGCACTCTTGTTGGACAACAACTCAAAAATGCTTTAAGCAGTTCGCATGAAACTTTGGTGAATTATTTATAGCTATTGATGTAATCTCCCTATAGATTTTCATAAATTTCAAATATGACATTGAGAAGAAATTGAACTTTATTTGTTTATAGTCTGGCAACAGATTTATTAAGTATTGCGCAACAGCACAGTGTATTGCACAACAGCAAGAAATCTTTAATTGAATATAAATTCAATTCATATAACCGATTTCAAGTTCTTTGACTACATTTATTTAGAAACTATAATATGTCAAATATTTGATTACAATCCAAATTCAGACCTGTATCAAGCTTGAATATTGTGTTCATTTTTGCCCCAACTGTTCAGGGTTGGACCTCTGCGGGTGTATCCAGCTGCGCTCAGCGAATCAGTTTATTTCTTAATTAAGAACTCCTTTTTTCATTCATAAATTACTTGAAACTTGGAAATATAATTTTGCTTGGAGTTATAGTTTCTAAAAAAAGTATTGTCATTGAAAGAGTTGACATGTTGCAATGTACATTTATTCTACATAGTTCTATGGTACCAAATCAAAAGTTTATATAAAAGAAAGAAGTCAAAGGTTTCCCATCATAGTTTAGTTACATACATTTGTTTTGTACCTGAGGTCGTTGAATATAGATCATTATATAAATAAGGAGATGTGTTATGATTGCCAATGAAACAACTATCATCCATACTTAACAGAAACAAACCACATTTGCAGAGTTGAATAAAATACAGTTGATAACATTTACTTATTACTAAAAAGAAAATGCCTAACTATTATAAACAGTATTTGAATATCAATTATATGGTCATTTTTAAGTCCCCGAGGGTATCATCAGCCCAGTAGTCAGCACTTCGGTGTTGACATGAATATCAATTATATGGTCATTTTTATAAATTTCCTGTTACAAAACTTTGAATTTTTTCGAAAAACTAAGGATTTTCTTATTCAAGGAATAGATTACCTTAGCCGTATTTGGCACAACTTTTTGGAATTTTGGGTCCTCAATGCACTTCAACTTTGTACTTGTTTGGCTTTATAACTATTTTGATCTGAGCGTCACTGATGAGTCTTATGTAGATGAAACGCGTGTCTGGCGTATTAAATTATAATCCTGGTACCTTTGATAACTAATTTGACTATAAACAGAGATAAAAAAAAGGTACAAACTGGACATAATGCACTAGTTCATAAACAAGTGAGAACAATCACCTTCATATAGTGCTCAGAATATGACATTCATATAACTTGTTCCTGAAAGCCACCTCTGATAAGTACACTGTACTATGCAAGATAATGATATAACTGGACTAAAAATACACACAACCTGTAATTAACTGCCTTTACAGCGCTTTCGCGCTTTGATTAACTACAGGTTGTGGAAAGCCCTTTATATTGTTACTATTATGTGGTGAAAAAATGAAAACTATGATATAATTTTAAAATAACATCTGAGGAGGTAGCTTTCATTGAGTATTTTCAGAAATAAAAATAGGGTCTATAATCTCCACTTGCTACACAGAAAAATTGCTTTATTTACAGTTATTCCAAAAATCTGGCATCATACTTTTTAAAATTTTTATGCCCCCCGCGAAGCGGAGGGGGCATTAAGTTTTACCCTTGTACGTCCGTCCGTACGTCCCAAAATTGGTTTCTGTTCTCTAACTAAAGTTTGCCTCAACCAAATGTTATCAAACTTATACACAATGCTTATTACCACAAAACACAGATCAAGTTTGAATTTTGGTAACGTCACTTTAACCGTTCTAGAGTTATGCCCCTTTATAAATGGAAAAATTGCAAAATTTTTCATTTCTGTTCTCTAACTTAAGTTTGCCTCTGACATCCAAATTGCTAAATTTTTCATTTTTTTTCTAAAAATATTAATGTCATTTTTCAAGTAACTTTTAAAATTGGAGTTATCTTCCTTTGTCCATGATTATAGTTGAATCAACTACAATCAATGCTTTATACAATGCAATGTTTAATTTTGCCTTCCGCTGATAAAACACAGATCAAGTTGAATTTGGGTAGTGTCACTTTAACCCATGGCTTCCAAAACGGTCATATATTCCGGACTTGACTGAAATTTATATAAAAAGTCCGGCTGCTCTCAGCCTCAAACGGTCAAATATCATAGGTTTGCCACTTTTGTTATTCAAGGCATTTTCATAAAACGGTCATTTCACTTTTTTTACCAACTATCGATCGGTAAAAATGTCCGTTTGGGCATTATAGTTTATAATTGTGGCAATCTATTTCACAAAGATATTTCGGTCATATTTGGGTTTAATTAAACAGATGCAGCATATTTCATACTTTGAAGTGTCTCAGTTAGTCTAATCATCTGGGTACACAAATGCACAGCTTGGTACATCAATAAAAAGTAGAAAAAAACATTTGTTCTTTTATTTAAAAAACAACAAGCTGTCAAACAATTATCCCTTCAATAAGTAATATTGAAGCCATAAATCATTCACTGATTACAGGTTATTACCTTTGATGAGAGACCTTAGCTTGTCTTAATCAATAGAATTGATGATGCATAACAAAGAACATAAACAGGTGATAAAGGTGATCAGGTAAACGAGGTCAAACATGTAAGCGTGTATGGAACAACATCCTATTTAATTACGCTTTGTAGATATTATTATAAATGAGCATTCAGTTTTAAAAAAGTATCCTTAGATTTTAAGATAATTCTTCAAATAAGAATATTTATAAATGAATTCGAATTTGTATGATATTCATTATTATATTTAAAAACACTGTACATCGTGTTAAATACTGGGGTACGCTAAAGGGTATTCAAAGTTATTTTCTTACATTTCAGCGGGTTGCATCTAATTAATTTAGTCTAAAAGATTGAAATTATAAGAAATACGTTAATAAATATGATTTGATGAAAAATTTGAAAAGGTTTTAAACTAATAATCGTCAGAACCACGTTGTTTGAACTAATACACGTGTGCGCATGTGTCTATTGTCCGCTGGTTGGAAATTTAATTATGCATCCTAATTCTTCAATAATGCTAAAATTATCATTGGTACCTTTATCTAACGTTCATTTCGAGTATTTTCTTGAAGAAAAACTTGAAAAGGCTACTTAACTCAATTGTAAACTTACACGGATATTACGTATCCGTCTCTGATCCGTGATTTACCATTATCAAGTCAACATCCGGCATTAGGAAAATGTGATTTTAAAAACAAAAGTAAGGCTTTTGACAGCGTTATTTTGCACAAATAAAGAGTCTAAAGCAGAATTAAGCAGAAATAGTACGCTGATGTTGCACACTTCGAATGCTGCACTTTCAATTTAACACTTTACGCCAGAACATCGAATTTATATCAAAGTAAAGTTTAATATCGTTTTAATGTCAATCATTGGTTTTATCATATATGATGGCCAACTGATTATCATAGTTGCCTTATTTACTAAGTCTAAAGGGATAAAAAATCGGGATAAGATATGAAATGTCCGGCTGGCTCAAAAAAATTTTGGAAGCCCTGCTTTAACCATAATTGAGTTATGCCCCTTTATAAATCGAAAAATTGCAAAAATTTTAGTTTCCATTCTGTAATTTAAGTTTGCCCCAACCAAACATTATAAAACCTATACACAATACACATTACCACAAAACTAAGATCAAGTACAAATTTTTTGTTTCCATTCTCTTACTTTAGTTTGCCTCAACCAAATGTTATGAAACTTATACACAATGCTTATTATTACATAATACAGTTTAAGTACGAAATTCTGTGGCGTCACTTTTACCATTCTTGAGTTATGCCCCTTTATAAACATAAAAATTGCTGAATTTTTGTTTTCTGTTCTCTAACTTTAGTTTGTCTCAACCAAATGTTATAAAACTTATACACAATGCTTTTTACCACAAAACTCAGATCAAGATCAAATTTGGGTAGTGTCACCTTTACCATTCTTTGGTTATGTCGCTTTATAACTGTATGATATGCATCATCTGTGTCCACATGTGGACACAATCCACATTTATTTATTATGAAATCAAATTGATTGAGTTACCTCCCTTTTTCGATTCAAATTCTTTATATTTCTTAATTAGTCCAAGCAAAATTCTCTATATGTGTTACAAAGATAAGCATCAGATGAAAATGTAGGTGTCTTAGATATATCAATTTATTGAATTTTATATTTAAGTTAGTAACTTTCAGTAAAAATCTATATCAGCCATTTTGCAACCACAATTTAAACACCCAAACCTGAAATATTTTTTTGGGACATAGTATTACTAGAATTGACCTAATGTGAACATATGCGGTTTCCATTAATCCTCCTTTAGATAAATATAGTTTAACATTTTTTTTCAATTTTACATTTCAGATTTAATGGTTGAATTTATAATGAGTCACATGATGAAAACTTTTCCATTAGAATTATATCTGTAAGTAACAATGTTAAAAAGTGTTCATCTTCCTGAATAAGCATCAAATGTTTGCCACTGGACTTTAAGCAATCTACAATCAGTCAATATAAAGCATTCCAGAAAATGTAATGGCAATTTAATGAAGTTCATATGGTCTTAATAGTTGTACTGCTTGTAACTTACATTGATGAGAACTTCACTCACCATTTTTACTTTGCATTCTACATTGATTACAAGTTTTGGAATATCAGTATTGTATTTGAAGAGTTGCTGTAGTCACTCTCAAATTTGATAGGATGCAGATGCAGTTGCCCTGGCAGTATCATAGATAAATTTATGCATGTCAAGGTGATTTTGAATATATCTAAATACTTTCATATGAAAATGAAGAAAGAAATGAAAAGAAAACTCACCACTTTTAAATTATAAATCAGAAAAAAAATTGAGATTAATGTGATTCAGGAAAGGTTTTAAATGCAGTCAGGTACAATTTTTTATGTTACATATGCTGTGAGTTTGATCCTAGTTCTTGTATAGAATTGTGAGGTATGATTTATTGTATGATTGATTTGTTTGTTTGTATTGACAGAAAATGTTTAGGGATTACTCACAGGGTACTGTGTTACCAGAAGAAATGTAGAGTCAGAATTCAGTATCCATGGAAAGAATTATGGACTGGTAAGATTGATATTTTGGTATACTCCTATGGTATTGATAATACAAGTTGTAGCCTAAACATCAAATGAGTTGTCTATTTTAACCATTTTTTTGTATGTCTTTATTTTTAAACAAGATCAACTGCTTAGAAAAGCCAGACTTGCACACAAATAAATGCATTCACAATAAACAAATTTACACACACAAATTTTGAAATTCTTCTGTTGACCTTAAATATAACAATTGGATTGGAGAATAAACACATTACAACTTTACTTAGGCAGGTTTGATGTTTGTTTACAATTTCCTTTAGTTTTTAAGGTATATATTATGTACATTGTTTGTTTTCTATTGAAATTTGTAAAAATATCAAATAGAATTTGAAATGAAAACATTTAGTAACAGGTACAATATTCTACTCTTTCTGTAGACATCATTGGAAAACTAAAGATTTATGCAAAACAAGTAATTACTGGTCACAATGATAATAAAAAATCACTTGAAACCCCTGATAATGGTTCCTGGATACTATCTTTATACTTTCTGCAGTTGAATGAGAAATTTATCTTGTTCTTGTTCTGTTATTTCAGCTTTAATCAACTTACTGAAGTTCATTCTGTCAAATGAAGGCAGTCTGGTGAAGAGACAGAACAATATATTCCATCTTAGTTCTAAGGTAAATATGTTTTTCACTCTAAAATTGATAATTCATCCCACCACACAATTATTTCTACATTTTTTGTTTTCTCTATTACAAAATTTGTAGGAGCATTTAGTCCAGTCCTTCCATGCCTTTATTTATTCGTCTGTTTGACTAATACAAAAAGTTTAAAGATGATAATTCAAGCTTGCCTTTTTTCAATATATTTTGGGGTAAAAATGTTTTTATTATAAAATAATAGTTTAAAAGTAAGGTTATCAAGTTTGATATCTATTATAACTGCTTATCTTTCAGCTGTTATGTTCCTCGAAATGGGTAAAAATAGCAAAATTGATCATTTCTAGATGATTTATTTTATACCCCTGCTTTAACAAAGTGGGGGTATACTGATTTACCTCTGTCTGTCCACCCATCTGTCCATCTGTTAGTCCGTCCATCCGTCCCATGAATATTTTTCGTCGCATCTTTCTCAGGATCTACAACATAAGGATTACTGAAATTTGGTTTCAGGGTTTATATAAGTCAGCTATACCGTGTGATACGTTTTCAGATTTATCACTCAACAACTTCCTGTTGACCGAATTATTTGGGCGGGGGTATCATCAGTGATCAGTAGCTCGCAGTTTCACTTGTTATTTTTGGGAGTATCAAGTAACAATAAAAACAGTTCAAGTTTAATTTTCAGCATTGCAGTTTTACAGCATAGGAGTTTCTAACAAAGTATTGCAAATTGGCAACAACAAACAGATAACTCAAAAACCCTTTTGATTGTTTTGATCTGACAAGAGCTTTAACATTTAAAAACAAAGGATAAATGTTGTTTCAACTTGTTCTTGCTCCATTATTCTTCCACTATATTATTTAGGTCATAAATAGACCATGTTGAATTCAGGGAACATTCTGACTAGATTGTAAAATACCAGAATAGAGAATCTTGCAAAATGAATATAAGAGTACCTGCATAGTCAACCAAGAGAAACTTCTATATGCAGAAAAAAGAATGAGCACACTCTTATTGGGAATAAATAAATGGTTCTATGGTGCTTAATCAAACTTTTTATAACCCCTTATGTGTAAAACTAGAACACTTTCAAATGAACTTTCTGTGAAATTAAAACTGTGAATTTTTAAAAGAAACTGGAACTAGACGAGTACAGTCTTTTTACATAATATATTACACTTCTGCATTACTTAATTATATCTTCATTCTGAAATCACCAGAAAATTATGTGGTTGGAAAGTTTATGTAATTGGGACAGTATAAAAATAAGGAGATGTGACATGATTGCTAATGAGACAACTATCTACCAGAGACAAAATGACAAGAATGTTAACAACTACACATCACAGTATATATGACCTTCCAATTATGTACAAAACCTACACTGTATAGTAATCTATAAAAGGTCCTGGCATGTCAAATGTGAAACAATTCAAGGGAGCAAACACACAGACTCAGTTCAAAGTTCATTCTTTTTTTGCTTTATGATATATAGGGTATGATATTGCCTACTGGACATATAGCTTGCAGTTGTCTATTTGTTTGGTTTTCTTTTTATGTCTAAAGTTATATTTAAAGAACAGTTATTGTTTTGTTATTTATGTTTTGTTTCATTACAGATAATGAATATTTTTAACACCTTTATCACCTATGGAGACACATTTCTGCCAAACCCAAACAGCTATGATGAACTGTATTATGAAATTATAAGAATGCATCAAGTATTTGATAATATTTATTCAATGGGTGAGTTTTGTTGATCAAATATGTGTTCATTTCATCGTTTGATCTATAGATGGCCTTTTGCAAGGCAAATTTCTGTCCCTATCCAATATACCCTCATTTTCAAGTGGCAGTCCAAATTTCCCCTTTCTTCATCCAGAACAGCCTCTATTACAGGACCTACCTATTGCATTTATTGTCAAGTTTATTCTCATCCTGAACATGCATGAAATATTTGCCACTGGACTTTAAGCAACCAACAATAAATCAATATCAGATCCTGATAGACAGAAAAGCTTTAAATTATCTCCTCTTGATTTATACTGGGTTGAAGATTACTGTAAATTCAGAAATTATTGCGAGTTTTTTTATTAATGCGAATAACGCGACTACTTGAGTATCGCAATAATAAAAACTCGCATTCTGATATCAAATACATATATCTGTATGTAGTTTTTCCAAAATTCGCAATAGTTAAACTCGCATTTTTGTTAATTTTTCAAAAATCGCAATAATAAATGCACGCAATAATTTCTGAATTTACAGTACTTAGGGGAAAAAATGTATATAATTTCATCGTTTATTGAATTGACAATCAGTGCATGAAGAAAATGTCATAGTAGTTATGTCAATATATTGTATGTATTAAGATATTAATTTAGCTATCAATGATTTGAATTATTTATGATATAGGGTCAAATAGCTCTGTTTAAGCTGTTAAGGTTTTATAATATTACAAATGTGAATAACTGAATAATAATACGCATTTTATAACGGACGCGGGTTGTAGAAGCAGGGGAAAACTTTTTCTGCCTTCTACCTCGGGAAGAAATTTTCATAGGTGGACGTGGGTCTCCAAAGCAGGGGAAAAAATAACTCATTACAGGATCAGTAGGATTGTGTAATTGTTTAAACATATTTTCCTTGTTTTAGCCCTTCGTTACACAACCAATGATGGTGAAAGTAAAGATTCTGCTGCTAGGCTGACTAATCATCTAGTTAATATAAGGTAGGTCAAGAAATTTGTTGTTTTAATTTTATATACTGTGAACCAACTTATTTTCACATAGTTTAGTCCTTTTTAGCCAACTTTGGGCAATTTATTATTGTGATTTTCCTACAGTGTTGAAGTATTCATATTTGAGAAGATATATCTAATATTTACATTATTCATCTATTGAATAGTGTAAGAAGTGTAAATAAATCTCTTATGTAAATTAGTTGGTTTACAGTATATACAATGGTGACCACCTCCTTGAACTTTTGAACATAGTAACAGAGACAAAAATAAAGCAAAAATTCTTAGAATGGTTTGAATTAGGATTTTTTAATAATCCCCCTTTCTTTCAGATTGAAATATTGAAGAGTAATTGATTGAAAATTAACATATTGTATTATGCAATTACAATCGCTTTTTAAAAAAATATAATATTGACCAATATTTTTTATGTGTAGAATACTATTTAAAGTAACAAAATGGCAAGAACATCATGTTTTTCTTTTTTTATAAAATTACCATTTTGAAGTGATATAGATACTGATAGAGGTGCACTCTAACTTTTGGTTATGTACTACAGAGAATAGGACATTGCTATACAATAAATACATATATATAAATTTTTTCAAGGTTAACAATGTTGAAATTTGTGAACTAGCTTTCATATTTATAGTTTAAAGAGGATTATTCAGTTATTGATAACTTGAAAGCATGCATAACATTTTGTAAGGTAAAATCAACATTTTCATAAAATATCTGCAGTATACATAATTTGTATTTAAACTTTTGGGGAAAATAAAACATTTACTCTGCTGAAGTATTTACTGGGCATGGCATCAAATTTACTCTGTTGAAGTATCTACTGGACATGCCATCAAGTTATCAGGAAAGGTTGTTTAAGATTATTATTTTGTTAACACAAATAGCTATACAAACCCGTTGTATATTTACAGGGCCATTGTCAATCACTTCACTCCAAAAGTAGATGCCTGGTCTGCAGCCAAACAATTGTCTTCCTTAACTGAAGAACAGGTATGTTATTACTGTAATTCAGAAATTATTGTAGGCCTTTATTATTGCCATTTTTGAAGAATGGACAAAAATATGAGGTTAATGTGATTTCAGGACAATCTGCATACAGAGATGTATATATCAGAATGTGAGTTCTTAACATTGTGATACTCACCCAATCCCATTTTTCGCAATAACAAAAACCTTGCACTAATTTCTGAATTTATAGTATTCAGGTTTATCAATTTCTCAGAATGATATATTTATGTACAAAACGGAATATTCCAACAGATTTATAAAAAATAAGTGCTATTTAAAAATGCACACTTTTTAAGGCAGTTCATGGATTTAGATAGGAATATATCCACTTTTGGATTTGCTTGTATTTGCATATTATTTTTTATTTTTTTATTTAAAATGCATGACTGATAAAAAATTCCATTTGCCTGTTTGTACAAATTTTAATTGTATGTTGCTAATTTACTGTCATCCTGATGAATATGCCACAAACTACATGTAGCTACAAGTGAAATATATGGCCATACAAAAATGCATTTGGTTCTCAGATAACACTTCATCATTAAAAAATGCCTCTGGCTGGTGAATTCATTGACAAACATAAATATAGAGCCATGTGTTTAAATTTTCTGCTGTTCAATTAAGGGAGATAACTCTAATTTGCTACATGATGAAAGAACAGCTCATGACTTTTTTTAATTTTAATGTAAGTTTCATGATCTGTGTGATAGCAATATGATAATATGATAATAGCATAAACAGGATGGAAAACTTCATTCTAAATTCTTTGTCTTCACAGGGATTAATGAAAATATAATGATAAGTTTCATATCAATCTCTTTCGGATGATTGCTGTCTGATAAATGCATAAATTAGAAACCCCTTGTTTCTTTTTAAATAAAAGTTATCTGAGAACTTAAGAACTTATTTTACATTGCATATGAATTAAAACTTAAAAACTTAATTTTTATGTAATTTTCATGAAAACTGCATTAAAAAATGTGTCTAAATTTATTCTTGGATGACCTATTTTAAATTGCAACTCTGATTTCATTTTTTCAGTCACCAAAATAAGTTTCTGTTAAAGCATATAACTACTGCTTTGTTATGTTTGTACGTTCTAACTATCCAGTAAGCACATTCTTAAATGTTTTCTTTTTACTATATGTTTGTAGGTTTTAGAAGTTGTTAGAGCTAACTATGATACCTTGACATTGAAACTACAGGATAATTTAGATCAGTTTGATAGATATTCAGAGAAACCAAGAGAAATGGGCTACTTTACACAGCTGGTGAGTTTTTTGTAGCCAAACCTATACAGTAATAAGCTTAAAAAAAAATAATTTCCATATTAACTTTAAGATATCTGCATATTTAGGCAAAGTATGAATAATTTGGTGGTATTCAGATAATTATGAATTCAGTACATGTAACTGCATCGAAATTTCTAAAAATGTAGTAAATGTATTTCCAGTGATACTATCAATTAGAAATGTGTGAAATAGATCAACAAATGTATAGAATACACATAAAAGTGTCATAAAAGATTCAGACAAACCCTACCGGAAAACAAGAGACATCCTTGCTTCAGGCCTGAATATGCCTTCTTTTCATAATGAGCATAATGTCTTGACAGCATCACTTTTTTATCATGATTTACTCTAAGGTTTGAGTAGATTATGAAAAACAAATGATGCTGTCAAGACATTGTGCTTAATTAATGAACTTGATGATAAATTATAAATTTTATATCCATAAAATGGAAATCTTCATAAGAATAACATGTTGTATTTTTAATAAATTCTGTGGAAAGCAGTTGGAGAAATTGAGAGATTTCGGCTCGCTGCTTTTTCTAGTTTCTTTCATCAAATGGTTTTTCTTTTGTAGGTTAGATCAATCACTGTAGAAGTAAGGAAAACAACAAACAGTATCTGGACTACACAGACTGAAGTTCTTCATAGCCTGTCTTCCATTACATGAATTATTTATTAGGAACGAACCATATTATTGCAATATAATACCTTCAAAAAAATGAACATAGCCATAATAATTTATAATTTATTCTGCTAGTCTTTCAGATGTGTTCCTTATCATGATAACAGAACAGTAGGAATTAGTTATTTATTGGTTTTTAATAGTGTGTAAATATTGAATATTAGTCCTGTCCATGAAATATTTATGATGCAAAATAGATGAGAATAGCACAAATCTGAATGAGTAAGAAAATTTAGATTCAGAATTGTATTCAGTGTATGAAGTTGATCGGGTACAGTACAGATATATATGGGATGTATTTAGCTGTGTAAATTTGTTAACATAATAACAGTAGCACAGACAAAATCTTTTAATCATTAATTTGAAAACTAGGTATGAAAGGTGGAGATATGATAAGAGCTATTATTTAGCCCCTGAATTTGCCAAAATAATATTATTAAAGAATAGTTCTAGCTTTCAAAATTGTGTAAATTTTATTGATAATTGAACAAGTTGATATAAACTGGACACATTAGTGCAGAAAGGTCAGTTGTAATGTAAACATGTTGAAATAGTTATATTTGACCTAAAAATATCCTTTATATACACAGTTTTTGGTCAAAATTAATGTGAGCCAAGGCCACCCAAAAGAGATATTTTTGGCACATTAGCATCTTTGTTAAAAAAAATCTTGTAGCAAAACATCTTTTTGGGTAAATGTAAAACTGAGATTATATCAGTAGTTGTTGCACTCAATGCAAGAAATTAAAAGCTAAATGGAAATATGTAAAGCAGAATTCAAAAATATGAGTATTGGTGTATGACAGGATATTACATGTTTTATGAACATCTGAAGATATGCTAGGCAGATTTATAATACTTTTTGCTGTTCTGGGCCAAAAAAAGTGGTCTTATCATACTTTCTCCTTTAAAGGAAAATATTTTTTCCAATGTTTGTTATGATGTTTCACTGTACCTTGATGTCAACATTGTCAGATCAACATAAATGTGAGATGACAACATTTGGTTGAATTTGTAAATTGTGCAGCTCTAACTTAAAACTAAATTTTAATAGGCTAGATTGTGATGAGATTAAAAAATTGATAATATCTGGGTGCACAACATCATTACATAATATTATTTCTCAAAATTATTAATGAAACAAGTCATTTTATTATTTGTTTTTTTCAAATATTTCTGCAACTATAGAGGTCTTATCTTTTGACTTAATTGACTTGGATTGCCAAGTTTTGTGCTGAAAGTGAGTAGTTTTCTCCAGGTTCTTGGACTGCCTCCACCAACAAAAAATCTGGTCACTATGATGTAGCCAAGAGTGATGAAAATGCCATCAAACACAAACAAACAAACAATCAATGATACTAAACTATTCTTAAAAACTTTAGAATTAATTGACTGGGGGACTTTGGAGGGTAAATATATAAGACCAGTTTGAAGGATACAGGTTCCATTAAACCCATATGTTCACATTTGTCATATATTAGTGTCTGTTTGTGTCAGGATTAATATGTTTTCTTTGGTTGGTGTCTCATTGATATATATTCATTTTATTCATGTCTATTATCTTGTAATGATATCCCTTTCATTTTATTGAAGATATCATTTGATTTTTTACCTTTCATACTAATTACTGAACTTTATTGAAGTTTAATTCATTTCCTTCTGCTTAAGTTAGTTCCAACAAATTATGTTTTATCCACATGTTTCCTGTGCTTGCAATGGTAAAATAAAAGTAATTTGAATTAAAGAATGTGTGATCACAAATATGTAGACAGATTTGATTTGAAGTAAAACACGGAAGAAATCTGTCATATTTTCTTATTTTCTATACATCTGATCATGTCCTCAATTTTGAACTTTGGATGCTTTCTTACTTCAGTCAGTTATGACCTTGGAGACCCTGCAGGGTAGTCATGGCCACTAAACACCCCCATAGTTGTAACTGAGCTATTGTCTTTGTTAATTCCTTTCATGAGAATTCCAGACACAAGGTGAGCTAAGAATACCGCTCAAGCCGGTGCCCAGTGCCGTCTTAAACTTGCAGTGAGTTGAGAGTTTTTTTGTTCCGTGTTGAAGGCCGCACTGTGACTTTGAGATGAAGAACAGCAATAAAAGCGCTGTTTTTTTTGCTGTGCATGTACTGATTTTGTGTCATGGATGGATACCCCATATCCTTTGTTTTTCTATTTCTATAATACTCTTTAATTTTGTCAGTATGACATTGTATAGTTTTTGATAACAGTTGATAATAGAAGTTAAAAGTCAGAAACCTATTATAATTTATCAAAACTCAATTATCCAATCTTATAAATTGTGGACCTTATCTTATATAGGATTGGTCTGTGAATTCAAAGGATCCTGGCATTAGTGATGAAAATTAGATTTTTTAAAACTATTTTTAAAGGGTAAATGTAAATTGTTATATTTGTCATAGAAAGAGTTGACAGTTTAACATACTGTAAATTCAGAAATTTTGTGATGCTTTTATAATTGAGAAACAATGTGATGACTCACACTTCAAATAGTGATAGCAGTTCCCTGAAAATTTAATAACTAATCTTGCATGTGTCTACTGTTTGACAATATTAAATGCCCACCAAAATTTCTGAATTTACAATTATTGATAGCTAAGGAAGTAACCTTTTAACTTCAAAGGGGGATGAGGGTTAGGGTTTTTTGTCTGAGTCAGAAATATTTTCGCGCAAAGCACGAAATTTTTTTTTTTAGTTTTTAATGCCATCAATCAAATTATTTTGTTCAAAATTTAACACTTTATGGTATGGGGAAAATCTGAATTCAGAACATTTTTTTTGTCATCTGCTTGACCACTATTTTTTCTCATCAAATTGGGGATCAGAATATTTTTTTAGGAAAAAACCATACCCCCCCCCCCCCTTGAAGTTAAATGGTCGTTCCCTAAGTGTTGCATTTAATTGGTAAAAGTATTGTTTAGATGTACAGATAATCTATGTTATTGTCATTATGGATACATACTTGTATACTTGTGTTGTTGTTAGGTTAGAGGATTAATGTTATTGTTTAAAGATGCAATGTTTATTTGGAAATAAATGTCTTATTACTAGACTGTCATCCACAAGCATGTTCATAGTTTCATTGACATAAAAATCTCCTACTACAGTTTTTGAGACATGAAAGAAAGAAGGTGGTTAGATAAGACTCGCGTAGTAACCAAGAATAAAAAAATGAGAGCATGCGGAGATTTAATTTTGATTAGATTGACACTGACCTCAATTTCATGCTTGTTTGGTCAACATTAGTTTTTCTGTAAATAGGTATATCTCAGATACTATAAGAAATATGTCATCTATTTTTGGTGTATAGAATGATTGAAAGGTGTGCATGTCTGTCCAGTAAGGTTCATGTTACCTTGAATTCATTTTCATGGTTCATTAGTCAGAATAATAATATCTTGATTAGGTCTATTTCTCAGAAACTACATATTGTAAAGGCCATGATCTATGTTTGTAGTAAATGAACTTCAGGGAGGGGAAGTCATTTCAAAAAGAGGGACGAAAGATACCAGAGGGACAGTCAAACTCATAGATCGAAAACAAACTGACAACGCCATGGCCAAAAATAAAAAGACAAACAGACAAATAATAGTACAGATGACACAACATATAAAACTAAAGACTAAGCAACACGAACCCCACCAAAAACTGGGGGTGATCTCAGGTGCTCCGGAAGGGTAAGCAGATACTGCTCCACATGTGGCACCCGTCGTGTTGCTTATGTTATTACAAATCCGGTAAATAGTCGAATTCGGTAGGTCACATTCGTGATAAGGGAAGGGTATTGAAGTTACAACATAAGGAACATATCCAATATCATCTGTGAAACGGTTATTCCATAACGGTCAACCAACTCGTGATGGCGTCCATAAAATTTACGAAGGGATGATTTCAACTTCACCATTTGGAACTCTTGGTTTAATAGCTTCCGTGTGAGCAGCAATCCTCTATCAAGGAAATCATGATAGGCAATACAAGCCCGGGAATATCGTATCAATTGGGAGATATATACTCCGTATGCAGGCGCTGCTGGAATGTTGCTACATAGAAATGGAAAGATCACAATTGGGAAGCTGAAATCATCTCTTTTGTCGTAAAGTTTTGTTTTCAACCGACCCTCATTGTCAATTTCTAGATGTAAGTCAAGATATGAGGCAGACTTAACTGTATCTGTAGTATCCTTTATCTCTAGTTCGATGGGATAGATTCGTTTTGTATGAAATTATTTAAAATTTATGTAATTTAGGGAAATACCATTTAACTCTCAGGGAGGGGATTATGGTTATTTCCGAAAAAACATTAAAGAAGAAAAAATATTATGATGCAGGTTTTCATATGAACAGTTTAAACAGAGAAATACTCATTACATTATTACTGGTGATTTGTCACCCTGTTGCCCTGCAATTTTTAGTTTTTTCTGTGTCGTCCCTCGAGCTTTGCTCTGTAATGCAATTTTCCTCTTATATTGACAATCTCTGCCATAACATGTTGCACAATATCGTCTGGTTTTATCGCATGCTTCGGATCCTGATCCTAAGGTCAAAACGTTGTCAAAACATGTCTCATTTTCAATGGTACTATTAATTTCATCTTAATCTGGTGCTCTAATTTCTCTTAGTAATAACTCGCGGTACATATGTACTTTGGTATAGTTTTTTTAGGCGCAAGATACAGATTCAGGGCTTGCTAGATCTCGAAATCGCCTTGTCGCCCTGTACTAATATTCTCATATAATATAGGTCTCTTTTGTTGATGGTGCCAGTAGTGTTTTCATATCTATCGGGATGTTCAATGTGTCCAACATTCTCATAATTTCTTTTCTTGTTGGTATCTTCTTTTTTTTCTTCACCACATTCACAATATGGCGTGAGGGATCGACCTATTTGATGGCCGTGTTTATTTAGCCTGTTATAGCCTGTGCTTAGTTCTGACAGAATTCTTCCTGTTTCAGGATTCGGGTAATCAAAGTTGGACAACAATAGGTACCAGCTCTAACAGGTGTCTATCAGTTTCACTCATGATCTACTACTCTGCAATTTCATTTTTGTTGACATCCTGACTGTGCTCTTATATCTGACATCGTTATCACATTGTTTTGGTCATTTAAGGCCTCCTTTGCTGCATCTTTTGGCCAACTGGTCAGCTTTTTCGTTCCCGGCTATATTAGCAGTCTTAGCATGACCTGGGATCCAAGATAGGGCAGTGGGTATGCCGTGTCTCAGGAGTGTCCCCATACTTGCCTTAATGTTTGTAATGGTGTCAATGTAATTAGTAGATTTCCAATTGAAAGTCAGGATGCCAACAGCTGTCTGGCTATCTGAAAGTATTTTTTTACCTCCGTGAACTGGTCTCTGATTGTGACAATGCTTCATTGCTTTTCTACCTGATATCCCTGGTAGTCCTAGGCAAACTGATAGGCCTTTTCTTTGAATGGTTTAAGTTTTTTTCTGTTGATGTGATCTGCCAAAACTGGACATGTATATTCGATAATGGACCGCACCATGCTGTTGTAAATTTGTAGTACTTTTGATTTTGATATTTTCCCTCCTCCTTTTATTTCTCTGATTGCTTTTATGGCTCTTTTCTGTATCTGATTGGTGTGCATGTCAAACTTTATTTTTTCATCCAGAATTACACCGAGTAGTTTGGGCGTAGAACTGTATTTAAATGTGAAAGGGTTGACAGTAAGTGTTTTCTGTGCCATATGCAGGTCGTCTCTCGGAAATAGACACATTTCACATTTTTCCATGTTGACATTTATTCTCCATTTTTCAGTCTATTTTAAGATTATATTAACATCGTCTGCTGTCTTTTCTTTTAATTCCCTGATATCTTGTCCCTTGTGCCATAATATGCCATCGTCTGCAAACTTGCAGTTTTGTCCTGTAGTGTTGTCCAAAGTGGCGTAGCTAGACAAAAGTTGAAGCTGAAGCCCAAATCGGCAGGGAAGCCCCCCTTTAAACTCCTGGATTTTAGGGTTTTAGACCCACAAATATGAAATGAAAATATTGTGAATATTAAGGTGTAGTCAAAAGCATTTTTGTTTGATACAAGTCAAATAATTTTGTGAAAAAATTTTTTTTTTCCTCAAAGAAACTGTAAAAACTAGGACATTCGAGAGGGGTAAAAAGGTTATATTTACTGAGACCAGTATAATAAAAACCACAAAATTATAAATTGTTTGGAGATTAAATGTAAACAATATATCCAGTATAGTGGGTACCCAGGTTAGGACAGGGTTGGCGCCTTCAAATTAGTTTAACAACGCCACATTCTGTATGTGCATGTCCCAAGTCAGGATCATGTCATTCAGTGTACTGGTTGTCGTTTATTGCTGTATATCATATTTGTTTTTCTTTCATTATTTTGTACATAAATCACGGAAAACAACTTACGAGGTCAACTAGATGGAAAAAGACGAACAAATGGATATATAGGTGATGGTTTGCCCTTGCCTTTGTCTGTATTAAGCAAACATCGTGTAAAAGCTGAGCAATATTTATGACACATCATTATGCGTGAGTCTAAGTTTCCTCCCTTTTTTTCAGTGAATAAACTAAAAAATCTGTTTTGTTTTATGTCAAAAATACAAACTCAGTAAGGTAATTGTTCTAGGAACATTTCACTTTGTAGATAGCCAGTCAAAACCTTATGCGTTGATATGAATTATTATAGAATCACGAGTCAATCTCTCTCACCAGTGACTTTAAACAAAGAAGCCTCCTGACCTTTTTGGTTGCAAAACAGTCAATAACTTTATCTATGTCAATGGGCGTCTCATTGTATGCGTGAAGTATACATAGCCCCGAGAGTGGTTCTGTTGTCATCGTAGAACGCAGATATGTTTTTACCCGGCGCATGACACTGAAACTGCGTTCAGCGGTGGCAGTGGTCACTGGCATTGTCAAAAGAATGAACAAACAAGTGTAAATGTTTGGAAACAGGTCAACATTGGTCAAATTCAAGCTTTCTGCAAGAGTATCAGGGATTTGTCCCTCTGCAATAGCCCACCGTGCTTTCCACCTTTCTACCTCGATGTTAAAAGTTTCATGGTCAGATAGAAGGTCATCCGCAAATGTGTTGAAAAGATGGCCTACAACCTGTAAAGAGCAACTCTCTTGACGGAATCAAATATTGCGCTACAAACCTGTCTTCATTTTTTATTTACCTATCTCTTAGTTCCTGAAGTAGATGGTCAATAAACGGGATCAATAACGCTCGTTTCAAATACTCCTTCGGTCCGGCAGCTGGAACATTTACCCGATGCTGTTGTCTTGTTGCCCCTCGTGGCATCGACGGTACTACATCAACTCTATTAGTAAGTGTTACGGCACTGTTGAACAATTGGTCCCAATTGTCGTCGGATTCGCGTTTTCTTGGCAGCATTTCGACAACGACTTTGCTTTCCTCGACAGCCTGAATTAAGTCCGAAAGTCTTTAGTTTGCAAGATCGCAGACAGAGGATCCAAAGGTTGTAAAATAACCTGAGCGACAACAAGACCAACAATGAAATCAAATTTAGTTATTGAACATCGATAACTTCTGGCTTTAGCATCCTCATCTTGCTCGAGATCCTCAAGAGAATCACATACCACAGAGCATGCATGAAGAAAAGTGAACAAAGAATCAGACCTACTAGCCCACCGTGTCTCGCATAAGGTCTTCAACTCCTGTCGTCTACCCATTTCCTCCTTAACCTCATTTGGGGCAGTACCTAAACTTTCTTTGATTGAGGTAAAACGCTTCGCTGAATAATTAAAAGCGAACGCGATCGCCTGCACGGTTTCCATAAGATTTCGAACGAGTGCTTCCTTACAAGCATATACTAAGGCTAAATTAAGATTGTGTGCTTTACAGTGTACATATGAAGCAAGCGGTACTCTTTCGCGTACTCTAGCCTGGACGCCACGATGAACCCCTGACACATTTGCCGCACCATCGTATCCTTGTGCTCTCATGTTTGCTATGATAATGCCATATTTCTCTAGTTGAGTGAGAAATATATCTGATAACGCTTCTCCTGTAGTTTTCTTACCTTCTGCAAACCTAAGAAATCCTCGTGAAT